ATGTCCACCTCTTCGAGTGTCCGGCCCTTACACTCCGGCACGCAAAGATAGACAAATACAAGAGAGAGAAAGCTTATTGTGCCGAAGATCAGGCCAACCTTGGACCCCAAATTCGCGTACGGGGCGTTGAGCAGATACGGTAGCGTAAAAGCGACGGTAAACTGCATTGCAATGTTGACGACGCTGGCCGTCCGATACGTAACGTCACGGAGACGCATGCTCGGAATCTCGGCAGAGAGGACATGCGATGTTGGTGCCCATCCGAGAGTGAATCCCGTAGTCATCACAATCATCATGGCTACAATGGCTGACTTGACGGATACGCTCGGATTGGACGTGAGTCCGAGAGCGCCGATGGCGAAGAGACCGGCCGTCTGAATCGACCCGCCGAAGAAGATGACGTTTCTAATGCCGATTATAAGTCAGCCAATCGGTGCAATGAAATCTGGCTCAAGGCGCATAATGCAAACTAGGGGCCTTACCTCCGTCCCAACTTATCCAATAGGACCATTGAGCAGACACACATGACGATGTTGATGCTGGAGGTGATCATGGTGACGGTGAAAGGGTTGATGAACCCCAACTGCTTCACGAAAATGGCGCCGTACACCGAGGCAAAGATTGAGCCAGTAGCCTGCAGGAAGAAGTTGACACCAATGACTGACATGGTTCGCTTTGTCACTTGCTTGCCCCTGAACATGTCCATGAAAGAACCTTTCTCAACTTCGTGATCTATGCCTGCGCGTATCTGAGACATCTCGGTCGCTATTTGCTCTTCAGTGAAGCTGCCTTCACGGAGACGAGTAAGAGCTATCAGTGCTTCGTCATTACGACCTTGCATTGCAAGCCAACGAGGGGACTTCAGGAATAAGTAGAGTCAGCGTCCTGACCCACTCACAATCAGAAGACCTAGATACTACTGAATGCTTACCTCTGGGACAAACCAGATTCCCGCGATTACTATCACGGGTACGATGTAGAAGAGCCCGTACGGAACCAAGTATGCCGTAGCCGAGTTCAGGCTCCCGGTACCTCGGGCCACGGCGTTGACGACCAAGCCGCCCGTCTGAAAAGGATTGTCAGCATAAATTTTGGTAGTCTAGAAAGGGTCATTCCGGCTTACTGCAAGACTCAGTTGGTACGTGCCAACGACGAATCCACGAGCTCGTTGCGGAGTTATTTCCGACTGGTAGATGGGTACGACGGCGAGCTCCATGCCAATATAGATATAGGCCAATATCCTGGCAGCGAGAATCTGATTCCGGCTTCTGGACGTCATGATAATTGTCGTAGCTACGCAAGACCAGATGCTCATCGAGAACATGCACATGCGCCGGCCGTAGCGTTTACTGACTGTGCTCCCGATCAAGATACCTAGACCAGACACGAACCTGTCAATAATTCATGCTAAGGCAATCTTTCGTGTAACGTACCGATGCCAAATCCAATGTACGGCAGGCCGGCAAAAAGAGACAGCCACCAACTTTCGAGGAAGTAGGCTTTCGTCTTGGCATTATACCAGCCGAATTGCCGTTCAAAAGCGTCCATCGCTTGGGTCGAATTGAAACCTTGCTGGTCAAAACCAAAGTTGAATTGAGAGACAGCAATGAGCAGGATCGTTAAAGTCAACGATCTGTTGAAAGACTGCCGCAACGCCAGGTGGCCGAACATGATGGCTGATTTGTTGCCAAAATATTGGCTGTCAATCTAGGTGAGCATGTCAAGGCAAGCCACTTCTCTATAGCTATCTGCTATTGTGAGAAGCAAACATGGCGGCTTTATATCATTCATCTAAGTACAGTTACAGGCCCTGAATTGCGCCATCACGACTAATGTTGACGATTTGCCGGGTATCGATGTTTCCCAGGTTTGACTCCCGGAGAAGTTGAGCCAGCTCCTTGGTGTGGACTTCTACTCAAGCGTGACAGCCCCTGTCAATCAAGTGGGCCAAAGTGATGACTAGTGCGGGGAGGATATGACGCTTATTCCGGATTCTGGATAGCTTCGTTGTTGTTGGATGGTTCCCCAGAAATATCTCCCCGTCTATCCCCGTCAACAACTATTTTCACCAACCCAGACAAACAAATCGCTCTTATTATTTGCACTTTGACGAACGATCCACTATCAGTGACCCGTCGCAGTCATATGAGATCACTTTTCACTTAAAGAACACTACTTACTCAACCTTTACGTGCTGTCGTGCATCCACGACCACCTTAGGAGTCCATAGCTGTCTACGGCTTGCAAGAAGTGATGTCAACTTTCAACCCCAGAAAGTAGCAGTCGCTCCTGGTGGAAGGCTGCATAAGAGATCGGCGAGTTGAGTTGCTGTCGCTATGTCAGTGCCGGATCTCGGCGGATCTCAACAGCGGGGTATTCGTCAACAAGCTGTTATTCTCATCAACGGGTAAGAACGGGGAGATAACGACCACATTCTCACTCCTTGTGAGAGGAGTCAAGCATGCACCATTCATAGCTGTTCTAGCCCCTCTCAAAAGAGGGATAATTGTCTCCGACGAGTGAATAAAGTGAATTGCGTCAATCCTGAGAGTAATCTCGCCATGTATAGGAGTGGTCACTAAGAAATGGTCCCCGTCACCCGTAGAGGAACCCTGTCGATTTTCCTAACTACCTCAGTCACTTGAAATAAGAGGCCGCAGTCGCAATTGAGCACCATATCGCTCACCAAGCTCTTTCACCAGCAATTACTCATCATGACGACTCAAAGGCCAAACTTTCTGATCATCGTCGCCGACGACCTCGGCTTCTCCGATGTCAGTCCATATGGCGGTGAGATCCATACCCCAACTCTCGACAAGCTCGCTAAAGATGGAATCCGCATGACCAACTTCCATACTGCATCGGCATGCTCGCCAACAAGATCCATGCTATTCTCTGGAACTGATAATCATATTGCTGGGCTTGGTCAGTGTTCTTCCGTTCATCCCAGGGCGAAGGCTGACGAACTCTCAAGGTCAAATGGCTGAACATATGAGGCACTTTGGAGATTATTTCAAAGACAAGCCCGGCTACGAAGGCTATCTGAACTGGAGAGTAGCTGCTTTATCTGAGATCCTGCAAGATTCTGGTTACCACACCATCATGTCGGGAAAATGGTAAGCTTATCGTATGCTACTTGGACGACGGCATAGGCGACTGACCTCGAGGGTTTCACAGGCACCTCGGACTGACAAAGGAGCTTGCGCCTTGCAATCGAGGCTTCACGAAGAACTTCACGTTCCTACCGGGCTCCGGAAATCATCATGCTTATGAGCCCCAGCTGGACGATGATGAGTTCAAGATCCCTTGTCTCGACACAGAAGGCCATTGGATGGATGACGATAAGTTTATCAATCATAGAACGGACCTTCCTGATAACTTTTACTCCACACGCTACTTCACCGATCGTATGATCAACTTTCTTAAGGAGAGAGACGAGAAGGAAAAGGAACAACCGTTCTTCGCTTACCTACCCTTCACTGCGCCTCACTGGCCCCTCCAGGCCCCACGGGAGGTGGTCAAAAGATACGGTATGAGCGGATCATAAGCAGGATCGTGATATGGGAGGTTGCTAATGGTTTCCTTAGCTGGGAAGTACGACGATGGCCCTGATGCATTGACACAGCGAAGACTGCAACGGCTGGTTGATCTCGGTCTTGTGGACAAGGACATTGAACATGCGCCGCCAGTGGGTGTTCTAGGTAAAGACTGGAACGATATGACGGAGTTGGAGCGTAAAGAGTCTGCAAGGAAGATGGAAGTCTTTGCTGCCATGGTGGATCTCATTGACGAGAACATTGGGCAAGTCATTGATCACCTTGAGGCCACAGGAGAGCTCGACAACACCTTTGTTTTGTTCATGTCGGACAATGGCGCCGAGGGTGCTGCCCTTGAGGCCATACCTGTAGGTTTAGCCGCGTCATCTACACCGCGTCGGTCCGATGTTAACTTTTGCCCTACCGTAGATGATGGGAGGAGAAACAACCTTTGCTGGAATAGTGCACAAGTATTATGACAACAGCTTGGACAACATTGGCGACAAGACGTCTTTCGCCTGGTATGGTAAGTAACCCCATCTAGTCTTCCGGTGATGCAATTCGGCACTAAAATCGATTAGGCCCGCGATGGGCGTGTGCCGCGACGGCGCCATCCCGGGGCTCCAAGTGTTGGATTACGGAGGGCGGCATTCGTTGCCCATGCCTAATCCGCTATCCGCCATTTCAAGCCAAGCCAGACGCTATCACGCATCGTTTCACCACTGTTATGGATATCCTCCCCACGATTTTGGAGATGGCTCAGGTGCAGCATCCTGGTACGACGTTCCGAGGTCGTCAAGTCGTTGTACCCCGCGGCAAATCTTGGGTGGACCACCTCACTTCCCCCGATTACGCGGCGCCGGACTCGACGGTTCACGGAGAAGACGTCCACGTCCACGGTTGGGAGCTCTTCGGGCTCAGGGCGATTCGCGAAGGCAAGTGGAAGGCAGTTTGGCTAAACAAACCCAGGGGAAAGGATGACTGGGAGCTATATGACGTGGAGAAGGATCCTGCGGAGATGAACGATGTATCAGACAAGGAGCCGCAGGTGATGCGGAGACTCGTCGATCACTGGGAACGGTACTATGCAGAGACCGGGATGACCCAGACACCAGAGTTCGCTATCACCAAGGCTTAGCAGGGTCTGAAGATCGGATGATGTCTTTAGGGAGTTCATCAGCTGCACCGCGCCAGGTATCATCGAGTTTGCTTCGCTTCAGGGGAAACAAAGATCCAGATCAAGATCTCAACTTTGCGAAGCAGCAGCTTCTAAAATCCTAAGGACATGTCCTAGGAGTTACCTATGCTTGCCATTGTGGTACCAATTAACTGTGCCCTACGGCGATTAATATTCGGAGTAATATACGCGAGTCATCAATGCACGGCAATATCCGCCAGGGGTGAGAAGCCACAAGCGTGGGGCGGGTTTCTTGTAAGTTGGTGAGATGGAATTCTGTATTCCCCCTGGTACTTGAATCATTTTCAATTGTTCTGTGGTTGAGGTTTGAAGTTGATCGAAGGGACGCCTAAACTCCTGACAATGACCTGGTATTGCTTCCCAAAATTTCCCATCCCATCCGAGATTTCCATCACTTAGCAGACCCATTGCAAGCATGTTTCCCCAGGCTTCGCGCACACGCCACACGGAGAGTTGCAGCATGTTGTTCCTGTCGGGCAAATGACTGAGCCGCAAGTCTCTGCATCGGCTGGTACGGTGCCGTTGGATTGGCAACCGACGGGGTGCTCCAACCGGAAATCGAAGACTTTGCAGTAGGAGTTTTCGGGGCAAGCGACGCCGGCGCAGCGATCTTGCGCGGGGTCTCCTTGCGGGGTCGGGGCTGGGGCGGCGGTGACGGCAATGGCGAAGACGCCGACGATAAGCGAGTGAAGGAACATCATTTTGATATTTGGTTTTGTTGGTAAAAGAATGACTGGCTGAGTTGGAATCGAGGGCTTTTGGGCTGAAAATGAACGAGTGAATGGCTTTGAAGAGCATCGAATCTTGTTCAAAATCAGGTGGCAACGTCAACCTTTATGGTTCAAAAGCGAAGGATTCAACCCCATTGTCGGCGAGCAGTAAGTTTGGCGCGATTCAGGGAACAATTATAGTTCATTGTTTGAGAGTGATTAAATGCCGGCGACAACTGGTTGTCTCCAGTTATATGAAAGGAATGGGCTAACTTTAAACAACGGCACGGGCGTTGACCAACTCACGGACAAAGCGTGTTATAAGGTCCGAGAACAGACCCTAAAGGCTAAAGGGACAGGAGTAAGCAGCACCCGGCATGTTCGGACGAGGATAATGAGCGCGTCTTGGCAGTTAAGAAAAAAGATGGATTAGATTAGCTACTGAGTAATTAATAGATTCATGCCTCAGGGGCAGCTAAGTTCGACGTTTCCCCCTTCCCCATTATACGTCCGCATTACTACGATCCTCCATGTTTCAATCTGTGGGGAGAGCTATCCAAGCCTCCTTCTATCACCATGTTATTAAGATGTTACTAGTTTGTCGCCGAGAGCTAGTGTAGTTGCGAGTGCCGGCTTGCTAGTTCGGGCGCCCCGTTCTCAAAGGGGCGGGATCGGCGGCAGGGGATTTAGACAGCAGGGACTGTAGGGGGGGAGACGGGCACGCAGATGGGTACGCCGTTCTTCTCTTTGCAGACGTAGTCGGGAATGCATTGGACGGTAGAGCAGCTGAGAATTCCGGTCGGGGCGGTGATCAATGAGACCAAGGTGGTAGGGTTGAGAGGAAGAACTGGGAGGGCGCGAAGAGGCAGAACCTTAGCGTTGATGGGCTCGCCCTTGACGCTGACGGGAGGAATGGCGGGCAGAGTAGGGACGACGGGGAGATCGACGGAGCCCGGGATGATGTCGCGAGGAATTGCAGGAATAACAGGAGCAGGCAGAACGACGGGAGCAGTGAGGGAGAAGGTGACAGGTGCGACAGTGGGAAGCGGGACTGCGACTTCGCGTTCGAGCAACTTCGCGGGAGGAGTCGGCAGAGCAGCAAGCAGGGAGCTGATGACAGCGGAAGCATCGACAGGCAAATCGCGCTCCAAGTTGAGCTTGGCGAGAGGGCTGGGCAGGGTAGCGAGGATGCTGCTGATAACCGCGGAAGCATCAATGGGCAAGTCGCGCTCCGGAAGCTTGGGAATGGCGGTAGGCAGAATAGCGAGCAGAGAGCTAAGAGCCGAAAGGTCAACAGTGGGCAAGCCGCGCTCGAGGTTCAGCTTCGCGGAAGGGGTGGGCAGAGCAGCGACCAAAGAGCTGATGACTGAAGCGTCGATAGCAGGCAAGTCCCGCTCGAGGTTCAACTTTGGAATGGCGGTGGGAAGAGTGGCAAGAATGCTGCTCAGGATGGTGGCATCGAAGGTAGACAGGTCGCGCTCCAAGTTCAACTTCGGGGTGGGAAGAGCGGCGAGCAGCGAGCTGAGGATTGAGGCATCAACAGCAGGCAGGTCTCGTTCGAGGTTCAGCTTCGGGGCGGCGGTAGGCAGAACAGCAAGCAGAGTGCTGAGAACCGAGAGATCGATGGTGGTCGTAAGGTCGGGCTCGAGGTTGAGCTTGGGGAGACTGGGGAGCGCATGGGGGGGCAGAGTAACCTCGACTGGGAGACTGGTGATGGCGGGAATGTCGCGCTCAACGACTACGCCGGGGGGGTTAGGAATAGCGATACCGGGAAGAGCAATAGTGTAAGGAGCGACTTTGACGGCTGGTAGTGTAGGAAGGGGAGGGTTAGCGATTGAGATATCCCGAGCGTGCCTGCGAATGGGGAGTGCGATGGAAGTCGAGGGCAGAAAAGGGAGCTCAATGCTGACGGAGGGAATCGCCGGAATCTCTCGGGGAATATTGACGGCGGGAAGAATAGGGAGGCCAGTGGCCTCAACGTTGACCGATAGTGAGAGAAGAGATGACAGGATTGGGAGGTCCCGAGGGATGTTTAGATCCGGGACCTCAACGGCCAATGAGACAGTGGAGGCCGGGACGGCAACGTCAACAGAAAGAGTCGGCAGAACCGGGAGTACTGGGGGTGCAAGAGTCGGAGCCGTGAGGCCGCGGGGGACGTTCAGGTCCGGAACTTCAATGCCCAATGAGATGGTTGAAGCTGGAATGTCGATATCGACAGACAAAGTCGGCAGGGCTGGGAGCGCAGGAGGAGCGAAAGTCGGAGCCGTCAGACGGCGGGGGAGGTTGAGACTCGGGAGAGAGAGAAGAGTAGTGGGAAGAGTCGGAAGATCGATGCCGGGAACGCCGCGCGGAGCGTTGACAGTAGGCGGGGTCGGGAGCTCGACATCGGGAAGAGTCAAAGAGAATGAGACTGGTTCGAGCTTGACCACGGCAGGATCAATGGAGTCGGCAATGCCAGCTTCAGCTTCAGGCTGAGGGGCGGGCGCCGGGTTGGCGGCGACACCAAGAGCCAGGACAAAGGTGGTAAGAGTGCGAATGGAAGCCATCTTGAGATGTTTGAACTGTTGATTCAAGGAACCTTTGCTGAAGATGTGAAGATGATGAAGTTGCTGTGGCGAGTGAAAAAGAAAAGACAGGACCATGATGGAAATCTCGAGTAACTTTATACTCGATACCTCAAGCTTCTCAGTGCTGCTGATTCCCGCGATATTCACAATTCGAACAACATGACTGTAGTTGATCGACGAATGCAGTCAATAGCTGGAATCAATTTTGCCGTTGTCAACAGCTCCAAAGACTCAAGAGTCGTCTCCTCTGTTGCCAGGCTTGAGCTGAGAGACAACAAACCTTTGAGCCATCAGAGAGACATATTCCCAACTGGTTGGATTCAAGAACATCCGGAGAAATGGCTTGAGACGGGAGAAGGTCTCGCCAGGTTGCACAAGGCCGTTACTGGTCAAGTAGGACAAGCCTAAGTCCGCCGATGTCTCAGCCCGATCAGAGACACGGCGTAGGCCCCTTTTTGCCAGTCCACCGGTAGTTCCCGTTAGCTAGCCACAAAAGCCTGCCCCAAAGGCGCAAGAAATGACGGAATCGCGCAGTTTTGATCGCATGCAGCCATGCTGAAGAATGCGGCAAATCTGATCGGGGATCGTACAAATGTCACCATATCGCGATGGTGGCGGTACCAATAACGCTGGTCAAAGTCTATGTGCACGGTGAGTGGAATTAGAGCAAAGTCTGAGCAACATAGGTAGGTTTTCATTCTGGAAACTCCTAGATAATAGGGTGGGATCGACATGGTGGAGGGCCCAGAGGCCAAGCAGGCGGGAAGCACGCAGGCACGCAGGTTACACAATGCCGGTATGGCGATCACTCGTGCTCCCATGGCGATCACTTGTAAGGGGAGGTTGCCTGATTTGCTGGCCAATCCAGCGGTAGAAACAGCTTTAAGACAATCAACCGTATTCGTCACAATCGCCGTGATCTCGAGGCTGTCCGCCCACTCTGCCCAAATGCCACTGACTGAGACAGAAAGGACATAGATCAAGCCAAGAGGGGGATTCTCCTCCGCCCATCTCCACACATCGGGATTTCCCGCAGTCAAAGCAAGCAACTTCCGTTCCCAGTATCCCGTCAAAGGCTCCTCGGGAAGCACACCAGCCAGCGGGAAGGCGTTGGGCTGTTTGCTGGCCAACACCCATTTCCATTGGCTGTCTTCCTTCTGGACTGCATAAGGCTTCAAGACATATCCCTCTGCGTCAAGATCCAACTCCCTGGTCTCGCCGTCTTTGACGCTATCTGCCTCAGAGGCGTTAAGCCCGGAGCCGCGTTCCAGCTTCCATAGTCCACTCCCGTCATCGGCTGTGGTCAGAGCTCTGCAGTCCCAGACCCCATCGTCGTCCATAGCAAGGCCTTGGCAAGCCAGTCAGACCCGCACGCTACTGTGAATTCTTTCGTTGGTGTTGAGCAAAGGCTGGCCCGTGTCTTGGTTCGTTTCCGGGTCCGTACGCATAAAGGTTCCGGGGTGACGGATTGTGGTTCCTGACCAGGTCTGGAGGCGGCTCGTCGGATATCGGATTTGGCCTAGTCCCCACGGCCGAGCGGTTTTCCAGAGCTCTTCTGCACTACCGGCGGGATGACGATCTTTCCCATCACATTCAGCCTCATCCCGATAGATGCTTGATGCCTTTACCGGACATATCTTGGGATTCGCCCACGGCAGTTGTTGCTTCGGCCGGAACCATGATGACCAGGAGCTGGGCACATAGGAGAATGATTGTCCAGCTGAGAACCGAAGTCCCTCAGTGAAAGTGTCTGCCATACGACCCGGGTTAAACTCTACACCAACACTTGATAGTTGATCACACATCCCTTGTTTTTTTGTCAGTTTCTGTCGGAAAGCATACACCATGACATGGGCTACATAAAAGCTAGAGTGATGCTGGCAATTTGTTGCTCATGCCATTCCCCGCCTACACCGGCATGGTTACCTGGGAACCAAACCTGCCGGAGATTAGTCTTGTTGCCCTCAAGCTTTCCCCAGAGTGCTGGACGGAATGCAAACCGGGGTTCGTCCAGAGACAGATCATGGAATGCGTTTTCTACGCGGTCGGATACCTGAGTATTGCTAAACTCCCACGTAGAGAGTCTATGTTAGCGGTATTCAATTTTGGAATCGTCACAGTAGAGTATAACTTATTCAACTGATGTTCCATGCAGGCCGATGACCGGGGCTGGGGGAATACCCAAGGCACCGACGGTATCCCACACGCCAACTGCCTTGACGTTGATCTCGTGCACGCCATTTGCATCTCCGTACGTGTGCCTTGAGAGGCCATTCTACATCCTATCAGTTTCATGTCTCGGGGAGAGGTGCTTCAGCAGGATATACCTTCGAAAGCCATTTCTCATACCGTGATTTCCGATCCCCCTCCCATTTAGCCCTTGCTGCCCCTTTCTCGCCATTGTAGGAAAGTACTTCCGGGTCCGAGAAGAGACTAGGATCATGGTCAGAGTCGCCCATGTTCTTATAGTCTTCAAATATGGCGTAGAAATGGTCCAAGCTCATGGGAGTTAGCAAGCCGACTGTCGCAATCATGTCGGCAACAGAGCGCGCCGTGAAGGCGCCGCGAGAGAAGCCTATGGGGATGATGTCGTCTCCATCGACGTAATTAGTACATATGAAATTGTAGACCTCGCGAATGGCCTACATAAAGCATTAGCTCCCCATGAACGGAGACTGAAAAGTCTAAATGGACTTCATCTGGTCTAGTCCAACCCCAAATAGTCCACCTGTGAATTTTTTCGACTGCACTGTCTGAGCTGCCGACACCAGGATGATACATGATGATTTGGTGGTTCCATCTTGACAGGTTCGCCGAAGGACCCGAGATAGCCTTTTTACGTTAGATTGCGGCTCAGCGCTTTGCGTGCGGTTTAGCTGACGATGAAGCTGGTAAGGAAGACAAAGGTCTGTTTACCCCCTGCTGCCTAACGAGTCCATTCATGTTCCATCGCAACAAACAATCAAGCGCTTGTGAGCACCACGAGGGGTAGAAGCTATTTTCTAGGTGCAGGTGGGCATTGATTTTCGAAGGTGATCTTTGATTGACTTTGCGAGATAAATAGAGATCCAAGGTGTTCCGATAACGCGGAGTTTGTGCACGGCTCCCAGCCTCAAGGTGGCAGGCAAGGGGGTTCAGCTTGGCCTTCATACCAGGTCTTAATGTGAGTTGGTGGCTGTCTCACTGCATACAGCCGCAGCTGGAACTTTCAAGTAACCGACCGGATGTTAGCTCTAACAATCCCTGCGATGTTGCTGATGGCTCTAGAGACAACAATACATTCTTCGTGCTTGGGTAAACAACGTTTGAACATACTAATTATTCGGTACTAACAAAGCCAGCGAGGAGAGAAGCACACGTTGACGTGTGACTAATGTCCACCTGACGTCGAAATACATCATTTCTATTTCTAATTTCGCCAAAAACTGCTATGCAACGAAAGGCCGTTCTTGGTGAAAAACCAATCGTCACTGGGTATGAGTCAGCATGGAGTTCTCCAGACGCCACAGAGATAGTCGCTCATTTTTGCTCTGCAACCTCGAATAGCCTCTTTCGGGCATGAATGAGTCTGCAAACAAAAGTCGAGTGTTCGGCGCGTAAACTTTATTCCCATGGCCTGCGCAAAATCCGATCGCTCAAAACTCTCTAGACAGACCATTCAAAAGGTAGACCGACGAGGTAGGGCCGTTGCTTCAGGAACTCTTGACATGCATGGACCTATGTTTTAGGCCGATGGTAGTTGGTCCTGATGTCAAACTCACCGTATTTATTATGGTAGGTGCCCGCGCGGCCATGATCGCAAGCCATCCAGCTCGGCCACTCTTGCATCTTATAAATGCAGGCATAGTGAGAATTGTTGAATGATCACAGGAAGCCTTCCCTGTATGCATAGTTTGATAATGCCATCCCAGCTAGATCAGCCTACTCTAATACAGAGAGAGGACTACCTTACGTGACACCATTCTACCTGTTATGGTATAGGAGATGATCAGTGATAGAACCCCAAGATTCCCAGTTCTTTGCACTTCTGATGTTAAGAGCGCAGAAATATTTGCGCATTTCGGAGCAACCCTGTACTTCTTTCAACTTGCAATCAAGCTTTAAGTCCCTCGTGAACTTTACACAGAAAACATAGAATACGTGCTCATAAAAGAAGACTTCAACAAATTGGCATACGAAAGCTTTCTTCAACTAAGCATATTGAAAGTCATTGCCCACGGCGCTTGATTATCTTCAATTCTTTTTTAAATACGAAAAGTCTTGCGCAACCAGCAATTCTCAACTACTTTGAAGCCAGATTGCATCAAAGAGAGGATGCGATAGGTAGCCAACCAAATATGCGAACCGATCTTAGGTAATAGACCTTAGTTGAGAGAATGCTTCCAACTACGATTCCTCCGTTACCTACTCTATGCAGCAATCGGTGTCATCAAGACAAAGAGTTCGTCTTCCAGAGATCCAGGTGTGTGACGACCGTAGGTCTCAGGGCGGGCAATTTGGACATTGAAGTTGGAGAACAGACCAGCCAAAATGTATCCAAACACTAAGATCGAGTTAGCATCTTGCTTGGAAAATAATATGAGCAATCCACTTGAATGAGATCATCAATAATTCAGGGCGAGGTTATTTACATGTTTGCTAAAAGGAGAGATCACTTACGATAGTATGTCAGTTGTGTTCCGATACAAGCTCTCGGACCGGTGACAAAGGCCCAGAGGGGGGGCATATCGGTCCTTTCTGCGCCATTCGGGTCCAGCCAGCGTTCAGGAACCCAGGCGTTCGGCTGTGTCCACATCTCCGGGTTCCGGTGCAAAAACCATTGGAAACAGTTGACCCGAGTACCCGCTGGAATACCGTCGACTCCTGAGATGCTCACAGATTTATCGTGAGGTGTGATGCGTGGTAGCGGGGTGCTGTTGGGTCTCATACGCAGAGACTCCTTGATGACAGCCTGCAAATATGCAATTGACTCAATAGTTTGAGGCGAAGGCAGACTATCAGCGTCACTGTTACCGACTTGGTTTACGTGCATTCCGAGTCCGGCAACCGCATGCTTCAACATTTCTTGCTGCGCTGGATTCTGAGCAAGATAGTAAACCGCGTAGGCAAGAACAAGGCCTGATTAGTCAGGTCAGCAGGTAAAAATAGCTTGTTGGGAGAAATTGCGAAAACTTACCAAAGACCTCGCGAGCGCCGGCTACAACAAACAGAATATCGTTAGCAACAGATCATTAAAGGAGTTGGGAAACCTTACACATGTGATCAAAGATTTCACTGGCGATGGAGATTCTCGATAGCTCTTCCGACGCCTGCATATCGAGGAATTTGCCGTCTTTTAAGTTAGACATTGCCTTTCGTAGTTGATTGTACACGACTGGGATGTCTTCTGCAGCAGGCTGCTCTCCGTTCTGCATGCGTCGATAGACTGCTTCAGACCTGTCGCAATGCTCCAGCATCCAGTTCTCAATCCACTCGGTCGATTCATAGTGCTTACGAGGCATCACATCGAGTCCGATCTTACGAAGCCCATGATACAGTTTGGGGAGTTCCTGAAGCCAAAACCCCTGGGGACTGTATCTGTTCTCGTAGTGCTCTAGCCATTTCTCTGTCAACTCAGGGTTTCGAGTGAAGTCGGGACCGCTGGAAAGACCCAAAATGTAACAGTTGAGCATGTCCAAACCTGAGGCATAACAGAGTCTCAGAAGCTCTACCGGTTGTCCGTGTGCAGAGTGATGTTGGAGAACTGGGATGAGACGTTGGTACATGATGTTGTGAGTCACTTTGCTCAGCGTTTCGGAAGCAAAGAGTGTCGTCTTGGAGTAAGACGAGGAGACTCGTCGGCGGCATGCGGCATGGTCTGCTCGGCTCCGGCTGGCAAAAGAGTTTCGCTGTCTAAAACACAGGTAGCTCAGTAAGTCAAGTTGCCAAAACCTGAGGGAATCAAGACTTTGAGAGTGGGATTGAAAACTCGTCGAAATTGGCGTCAACACTTACCCATAGTATTGGAAGAAGTCGAAGTATCCCGGCTTTTCAAACCCGGCGTTGTAGACTTGACGAACGCCAGTCTCGTAGTCGCTGATGCTGATCTCTTGCGGGGCAACTCGTACAATTTTGCCCAGCCTTTCATGAGCTGCAAGAACAGCTTTCAATTCCTTCCCATGGTAGCGCTGCCAAAGAATCCAAACGGGACTGAAGGAGCAAGTCCAGTGAGCGGACGGTACTTTCGAAAGACCTCCCGTGAAAATTATGTACAAAGTTTGGAACAAGAAGGCTCCAAGAAGCAAAAAGATAGCCACGAAGGGTAACGCCGAGCCGAGTATTAGGAAAGACATGTCGGCGGTCTTGGATGGTATCGATGCCTTGGTCCAGTCTTCGATGACCTCTGACTAACTTGTTGACATGATAGTCCTGTTTATTTAGACACATGTTGACCTATTCTGAACAATGACCATTCTCTTCCGCTGACTGTGCATCAGCGTCGACCTGGAGGTCTCCGAAAGCTATTGCGTGAGAATCCAAAACTTCAGGCCATGATCAGTTCCTCACATCAGCACGTTGTCTACTTCTCGTGTCATTCCCGAGATTCGGGATGACATGCATGCACAGACAAAACTCAAAAGCATTGACAGATCCACCAGGGGTGCCCCCTCCTTGGGTCTTCGAAATATGCCAGGATCGGGATCCATTATCCATATGCAATGTCAGCTACGACGTGTATTCGTAAGAAGTCTGGAATCTGCCGCCGACATGGATAGCCTACGTTGCATTAAAAGTTGTAAGGAGAGCGCCAAGTCGTAAGAGGGAGCGAAGGACGCTGGAGAAAGATCCATTCTAAATGCGGTGACGGTGTTTTCAGCGAGCAACAGTAACGGCTGTCATGAATAAGCGGACTATGGGTGTGTTTTTGAAACTGAAGTTTCTGTGGTAGATTACTTGTTTCGCTGGTGGGCGCAGGTGAGTCAGATCTCATTCTATCGATGAAGCGGCTTTGAGCTTCGTGGCCAGTCTATCTACGTTTTAGGAAGCTGTGTTCTACGGGTGGTATGGACGAACAGCGGATAGAAGCGTCGGAAAGAAAGCCAAAAACAGCAGGCAACCTTGTACACATGAGTACACGTACACAGAGATGTTGATTATCTGATAAATGTGAACAATTGTGTCCTGTCATAACTTCTTGGGTTCATCATTCATCTGGCGTACCTAGCGTAGTCTGCATATCGCATGGGCTCGTGGTTCTGCCCATCAATCAGCCCCATCCCATAGCCATCCGGTTCTGCATCAGGTACCTCTCCGTATGTCTTCATCTTTTTCCGGTCGTTCTTGATTCGTTTCTTCTCTTCCTTGGCTGCCTTTTTTATGGCCTTTTTCTCCTTCTTCTCCTTGCGCTTCTGTCGACACCCCTTCCGGGGGAATTCGCTGTTCGTACCCTGAAGGACTCGGCCGGGATGTATGACGGCGAGTATAAGCAACGCCAACATCATGGGGAAGGCATCTAGGGCATATGCGTATGCTTCCGTGAAAGGTATGGGGTTCTCTTCAGGAGTCATGCCTCCGGTAAACTCCACGAGACGGAAAATGATCCGGGCCTAAGCGTGCCAATGGTTCAATCGTCAGTTAAACTGCACCCGCAGGATTCGCAAAGGGCAAGATGAGGGTAGGACTGACCGTGATTGCAAGCAAAGCTGCATAAAGTGCGAATTGCAGGGCCTTCCAGTTTCGTCTCGGCATATAGCCTTCTTCATCCTCGCGGTCGTACGGACCGCCTTCCAATCCGTACACATCTTCTTTGTTCATTCGTATGGCGCGGTAATGGAAGCGAGCCATCAACATCAAGAACACCACAATGAAACCTTCTTGAACCCCCATGCCGATGATGTAAATCTTGACACCTTTCGCCCTTGTATTAGGCTCTACTGTCGGGCCAGCCATGACACCTCCCGTGGCCTGCACGATGAATGTGGCGATGTCAGCAACAACAAAGATGCGCCCAAGCCATCTTGCCGGAATGTAGCAAACTCGAGGCTCCCCGCCTGGTCGGAAGAAATAAACCATTCGTGCAAACGTCATGTACACAAAGGCGTTCAGCCATACAGGAGCCAACAGGAATAGCACCTGATGGCCTGTGGCGTACCCTTGGGCTTGTTGATCTTGCGAGCCATATGCGTGAAGAATGAATGCACCCATCTCCCAGCTTGCCGCCATAAGAACTGTCCATGTAAAAGGCTATGTGGTGATGGATGTTAGTATTCATACTTTTCCAACTTATTCCGATGGTTTGCGTTGCTCTTTGTGGAAGGAGAAGAAAACCTGAAGGAAAGTCTCGGATGTATCATCTTACCTTTCGGTACCATATCGCTTCGATTAGATGAATTAAAGTCAGAACACCAAAAATCGAAGCCGTTGCAATCGCGGGTGTCAACTCGGGATGGAAGTTGTAATTTGAATTGCAGGCGTCCCAAGGAACCGCTCCGTTCGGTCCCGGCACCGCACTCGTGCAGTCTGTTCTCGGAGGATCATCATCGCCATCGTCCCGAATTGTCAGCGTTGGTGTTGGGAACATGATGCTTGCTTTGGTAGTGTCAAGGGGGAAAAGAAATGGATGAGGGTGAACAAATACTAGTCTTTACAGCGAGTAAACATAGGAAGATATCCGATCTGGTAATCGATGGATCTAGAAAATGTGAATGTGATGTTCTCGCGCTCGATATTATTGATGAATTTGTCAACCAATTCCTTCAAGTTGGCTTCGATATCCAACTTAAGGATGCTGGGCACTAAAAGACTATCTCAAAGCGGCGTCAACTACATTCCGAGAGTTTAGGGTGCCAAGGCTGGTGCCTAGAGGAAAGCAAGTTGGTCGACCTCTGTGTCTCGCAAATGACGCGTCCTCCCTCCAGCACCGCCGGCGACTCGGCATGATCGGCCCTCCATCAACCCTCCGAGGGTCACGTCTAAGCGGGTCTAGTTGTAACAGACCACTATCCAACCAACACGAGAAACGTGTGCAACAGGGATAAGGGGGTCTGAAATGTGACGACGGTCAGCGAATTCCTGAGCTTTTGTGGTGACAATGCTTCCTTTTACAGAAGAAGCTTTGACAAGTCATTGGTTCAAGTTGGTTTTGACAAGAAACCGGACTCTGGCTGGGCGATCACGCCGTCTCTTGATCACGCCAACCTGTGTCTGTTGACCTAAACCATTCCCCTACTCTGTGTATGTACTAAACTTGGAATCATCGTCTAAGACCCGATCATCGAATTAAGCTCCTAACAATACAAAAGACTCGGTGTACCCGTACGTTCTTTTAAAAATAGAGTCAAAAGTGTCAAATCTTTTCAGATGGTGTCCATTTAGGTAATATAGTGCAATGTAACCGCGCGGGAGCAAATTTCTACCCTGCCGTGCCTCCGCCTCTTTGTCTAGTCTATGAATCCTCGATTGCAATACTCGCACCCATGTCTGATACTTCTTGGCGCTAGCCATACCCCTTGGCTCACAACTACTGTGCCTCTCCCTCTCAAGGAAGCTGGGAAATGATTTTGACCACCGCATCGCCAAACTGGCTTGTTGTCGCCGTGCCCCCCAAGTCCGAAGTCCGGACACCAGATTCAATGGCATCGCTAACAGCCTTGCAGATAAGATCAGACGCTTCGGGCATGTTAAGAGAGTAACGGAACATCATGGCAACAGAAAGGATCATGCCAACAGGATTTACCAACTGCTTTCCGGCGATATCTGGCGCGGATCCATGAACTGGCTCGTACAAGCCCTTGATCATGCTGCTGCCAGATTGCGGTGGGATACCTCGTAAACTAGCGCTGGGGAGAAGACCAATGCTGCCAGCAATGGCGCTTCCTTGATCACTAATGATGTCACCGAATAGGTTGCTCGTCAACACGATGCCATTGAGCTTGGTTGGGTTGCAGGCCAGAGTCATGGCAGCACTGTCCACAAGCTGGTGCTCGAAACGGACATCGGGGAACTCTTTGCTCAAGACGTCGGTGACGACGCGACGCCAAAAGCTGCCGCAAGCTGCGAGCACGTTTGCCTTGTCAAGACTGATGACGGGCTTAGGCGGAGTTGATAACCTGGCCAGATTGCCAGCCAACCGCGCGGCTCTCGCTACCTCTTCATAGGTGTACTGGTCCGTATCTTTGGCAATGAGATCGCCGCGCTCTCGGTGCCCGAAATAAATACCACCAGTAAGTTCGCGAACGATGAGAATGTCGGTGCCTCTGCAGATGTCGGCCTTCATTGGTGACGTGTCAACTAGGGACGGGGCGGGGAAATTGATCGGACGTAGGTTGCCGAACGCATCCAGTTCGCGGCGCAGAGTTCCGAGACTCGCGGCTTCAACGGATGGAACCTGTCCAGCCCATTTCTTTGGAGCTCGTGGTCAGCAAGACGGTTTGTTGAGGGTAGTTACTGGTATGGGTGTCTTACAGGGCCACCGACTGCGCCTAGCAGGATTGCATCGGCCTCCTTTGCATCTTGAAGAGCTTCAGGAAGGATCGGCTTTCCGTGGAGATCAAATGATGTCTGCGACAAAAAGGGTTAGAAAGCGTAAGAATACGCGGTTTGGCAGAAACCTCGATGTCGACATACTCCGCCTATGGGATGATGCGTCAGGTTGAACTTGATTTCGGGGTGGCGGAGGGCTACTTCGTGAAGGACCTTGAGCCCCTCAGACATGACCTGCATTTATGATTAATGACAGGACTCATCCACCTCAAAGGGTGTGTGGGTGACCTGGGGAAGTTGAGCATACCTCTGGCCCAGCGTAATCTCCGCCAAAAACAACAATCTTGAACGTAGTAGACATTTTGACAGATTAAAATTTCTCGGTGGTTTGGCTGAGAAGTTAGATGGGAAAGCGATTGCACAGGATTGCTGAACCTTCATGAATGAGATCTAGATCGCGTATTCCTTCTTCAAGTATACACATGGCGCCCAACTGAGTTTGTCCAGTCTCATGTTTGATGTTGCAATTGTTTCCTTCGAGCCGAGCTCGGCCAGACATAACTTGGGGGTTCATGATTTGACGGTGCTTGCCTGCCGGACAATGCATTGGAGGTAAGCAGTTCCAGTGACAGAGAGAGAAGACTGTGCATTCAGGCTGAGGATGTGACGGGAATGCGAATCTATCCGAAGATCAGGGGCTCACCCGCCCTGCGAGTATGATGTTTTTGCTGACCTTGCATATGGCCCTGGTCCTGGCTGTTGACCGTCTTACGATGTCCCAACGAAGAAACAAGGGTCCATTAGCCTTTTGGCCCTGGCGCCCCAACATGACCCCCTTCGATTCGGTCAATCGGAACTCAGCGGCAAGACAATACTGATTATAGGCCTCCTCCGTGTGACCGTGTCACAAAACCCCGAGAAAGTTTAAATTCCCAGGCCCACACGGCTGTCCCCAACGCAACCACGGAGCAGCGCCTGCTAAGGGACTTTGCATACGGCACAGCTAGTCAAGACTAAAGACGGGCTCAATGAGATACTGTGGCTAGAGTATTACTACTACGGATAGTGGCGTTCCAGATGCGCGGGACTTCGCGTTGCAAGACTCCCACAGCTGTATGGTCAAGCGGTAAATGTTCTAGCTAGAGATTGTGGTCAGACGCTGACGGTCAGCTGTGGAAGATAACCAACTTGAGAGCGCGGATTAATGTAGTTAGCATCTCGTTATCGGAACCGGGAATTGTACCTAGTTCAATAGAGCCGCATTCGAGCATGATTCAAATGGGGACTATAGTCGCTTTGGTTAACCTCCATCGTTGAATTGAGCTGTTATTCTATTGCAACAATTTCTCTGCAGTGACTTATTCTACCGGCTGTCGGCACCACAATCCTCGTTTTCGTTACGAGATACCTACTACCATGGGCTCTATTCCCGCATGTTCTTCAGCGCCTGGCGAGAGCGAGAGCGAGATCCTCGTCGCAGTTCGTCCGCCGAAGACGAACGTAGACTGGAACAAGATCGGTTTTACGCCTTTCCAAGGTCAGTCCATTTGTGAATGGGGTCACTGTGGTCTGATGTCAACCAACATGGAGCAACCGATGACACCCGTTAAACGAGCTTTTGGGTTGGATGGGTGGTAATAACAGTGCTTAGTAAACGGCCACATCGAATGCACATTTACAGCAAAGTCCGGCACCTGGAGCCAACCGCGTTGGGTACAGGAGCCTTACCTGAAAGTTCATGGCCTATCCCCGGCGCTTAATTACGGGCAGCAAGCCTTTGAGGGGCTACGCGTCTTTCGCAGCGAGTCAGGCAGCGTCCAGCTTTTCCGCCTGACAAGCCATGCGGCCCGGTTCGCGCGCTCTGCCGCTGCCGTTGACATTCCGGCCGTCCCGGTCGACTTGTTTGCCAAATCGGTGCGTTTGGCCGTTCAACTCAACAGCGAATTTGTACCTCCGTTCGAGGGTGGGTGCTCCATGTATGTACGTCCAGTCGTCTTTGCAAGCAGCCCGACGATGAACATGTACACGGCGGAAGAGTACACGTTCGCCGTCTTGGTCACGCCGGTCGGGCTGTTGTACGGAGTAACGGGTCTCAAAGCGTTGGTTGTGGAGGGATTCGACCGTACGGCGCCGAAAGGCACCGGCGCCTTCAAAGTCGGTGGGAATTATGGGCCCACCATTCCGATTATGGGACGGGCTCGAAAGCAAGGTTACGGCTTGACGCTCCACCTAGACGCCGAGACGCAGTCCTTCATCCACGAGTTCTCTGCTAGCGGCTTTATTGGAATCAAAGCAGAATCTGCGGAGACTGGAGCCCCGCCTACGATGGTCATACCCAAAGACGAGCATATCCTTCCAAGTATCACAGTTGACAGCGTTGGACAAATTGCCCAGGAACTTGGATGGAAGGTTGAGAAGCGTCCCGTAAGTTTTGAGTTTCTCGTTTGATCCACCATCATGAGCCATTTACTCCCTTCCATTCCTCTCTTCAACGTTTTATGTGGGGGAGGACCGAGATTTTGGCGGAAGTTTTTGAGTTTCATGGGAGATTATTGCTAATAATGTCCGGCGCCATGGCGTTAGATCCCGTTCACTGAGCTTGGGGACTTTTCTGAGGTCTACACCGTCGGCACCGCATCATCGCTGGTGCCCGTAAGCGCCGTTGAGCGCGAGTCGACTGGCGAGCGGTTCGCGTTTACCGTCGATGCGCAGTCTCCGCAATCCGCTTATGCCAGGTTGACAGACAGGTTGCAAGGAATCAAGCGGGGCCTGTATACAGAGCCATGGGGTTGGGTGGAAGAACTCGATGGCGTTGCTTTGCGCAATGACATTGAGCGGATCACCAACACTGGGTCAGTGAAGTCTCCGGAGTAACTTTCGGTACCGAGGTCTTGAGACGGCAAACGACTCACGTTTTTTGTTCTTGGATTTGTAGGTATCACACGAAGCGGATAGACCCCAACTGTGGCCAGTGGGCAGAGTTGGATAGAGTTGCGCATTGCTCAAGATAGATTGATTTCCCAGGCCCATCAGGGTTATTCCGCTCAAGATACGCAGTACGAATACGTATGGGGCTTTGCTGTGTGCTTTCGTTTCTTGAAAACCGGGCCAGTAGGCGTCCCCTTGAAACCTACCAAGGAATGCTCCGTGTTGACTCCAGGTGGAATCAATAAGTAGGGCACTGGGCAATATATCGTGATTTCAGGAGATGGATCCACGAGTAAGATGCTCGAGCTACGGGCGTGTTCATTTTGCGGGGATCTTGAGGACTTGTAGTATTACAGCTGTCCCGCCTTGGATCTATAGTTGTGTTATGATGCTTTCGAGTGACAGCGCAAACATTACCCAGGAAGGGTATCCTAGTCGTTGAGTCGGTGAACCCACTAAACACGGGCAAGCTTACTAGAAAGTCGGTTCTAGAGCAGGTAGCCAAGCGTTGCAATGCTCCTCTACAGACATGACTTAGGCCAATCATTGTACCATGGGTACGATGCGATCGCATATTCGGCCGCTGTTTCGCAGGTTCCCTCACTTGTAGAAAGACATATCTTTGCTACAGTACCTCAGGTATTGGCGATGTGGGATATGGTTTCCGATGAACAGCTGTTGTATTCGCTCGAGTCAGTCACCCGCCTACATCGTACCACAGCTGCTTGCGATCAAGAAATGCCATACGGAACATGCAGCATGGCCAGAATTAGGCCCCGGCTTCCCCGTCTGAACCCTAGCAACAGCCATTCTAGGCCTTTAAGGTCTGCCCTGGCTCTTACTGATGTAGCCTGCAGCCACTGCAACCACTGCTGACCAAAGATGGTGTAAGGGTCTTTTGGATATGGACCTAGACCCCAAAATTAGCTTTCCAAGGATTTTTACACCGAGGTCATCGCTGTCCAATGTCAATCGTCGCGCCTACGGTAGACCTACATGAAAACTGCGGAAAACAATATTCAGGATGGGGCTTCCAATGCCAAGCTGCCAACACACAAACACCGAAATCACTGACAGTCGCCGAAGACGTAGCGCGCGCGCGCCAAAGCCTGGAGGCTATACTCATACCCGTACGGTATACGGTGACAATACATTACATACTCCGTGCACTAAGTACCTGGATATGGTACGACTACGACCTGTTCAGCTCCATGCCCTGCTGAACCCCGGGTCGAGACCCTGCATGGATCCAGTCCCCTCCACCGGCCCCTCCACCATCCGGGGAACCCACATGTGCATGATCACCATGCCATGACATCTTGGGCAGGTTTAGCCTTGAGTTCCTTTGCGATACCGCCCTGTGAGGCTTTGCGACCTGTCAAGACGTCGTAGATGCTTTTGCCAAATTGGTTGAAGGCATTTGTCATGCCGCCCATCTTGGTCAGCTTCTTCTCGAGCACGGACAACTGAAATTTAAATGTCTCGCCGTCGACAGTAAGCACGTTGCGATCCAGGTCGATCTCAATGCTGGTTCCTGTCTGCGCCTTCTCGTAAAACAAGGGATCGTCGATTGTGAAGCCCCACAGACCCAAGGACGGCTGGTTTCGGCTGTAAATGAACGCGAATGCCTTCGCAATGACACATTCGACACCGACGCCTACATACAGTAATGTCTGGTCAGCCCACCATTACGAGCGAAGGAACGGCACGAAGGAATGAAGGATGGTGATGGTGATGATGATCACTTCGATGACTTATTGCTGTCGGCGGACGAACCCATTGACGGACAATGCGGCGGTTAGAATCACCGAGAGCGAGGGGGCATATGTGCAAAGGAATATGCAAAGGATTGAGGGAATGAGACTCCGACGCACCTAGTAAAGCTTGCACAGCCTCTTGACGACTAGATCCACAGCCAAACGCATCGCCAGCAACAATGACTTTGTGACCTTCCTTAACGAGCTGCCGGAATTCCGGGTTGGTGAACTCGAGGCAATGAGTGCCGAGCTCCTCGTTGTTCTTGGATGTGAGAAGGTATTGCGCAGGCGCAAGCTATTTGCGGGACGGCCCGTTAGAACATTGTTTCTTGTGCGTCTCTTTTGCTGGCTTCATGTGCGATTCGCGAATCAGAAGCAAAGCAAGGGAAAAGTGGCTTACCGCATCGGTGTCAACAAAATCTCCTAGACGGAAAATCTTACTCCTAATGGTTCCGGAGCCGGGCTTAGCCTGGTCGGCGGCCGCGTCCTCGCCGGACGGGCTGGGTCCCTGGTCCTCCGCGACGTTCTTCGCATCCTCTTCGGCGTCTTGGCCTGGCGGCTCCACCCATTGCGGTTGGCTGAGGATACCATCGGCAAGGGATCCTTTACCCTTGACGGCGGCCCATCGATCCGCTGGGATGAGGTCAATAAGATCTTGTGGAGAAGTGACAGCCATGTCAAAAGACGACGCAGCCACCGTTGCAGCGGATGCCAAACTGCCGATAGCCCCTGTCATGCCAGTTGTTAGCCTACATTGTCCAGCGTTGCATTCGTTCTCAGCTGAGTTTGGGTCTCGAGAGGGTCTTGAGAGGGGTCTCTTGTGCAATATCACAAAACTGCTCGCGGGTCCACCTGGAACTGGGGCAAATCTGCGGGCAGTTTTGGCCAAAAAGGGACAGACGGGGGAATAAGAACGATCGTGAGTGTATCCCACGAGACTTACCCTTGCCCATACGGTTCTCGAAATTGCGATTCTGACTGCTGAGCCATACTTCCCCAGGTTTGGCCATGTCAGCGCCCATACCAACGCAGTAGCTGCATCCAGGGATGCCAATAATGAAGCCCGCTCTCTCGTAAATATCTGCGAGGCCTGTTTTTCGAAGGTAGTCAGCGATGGGGCGGCTTCCGGGGACGACGCGGCGCTCTCCCCGGGCCACCGGCTTCCTTCCCGCGTCCAGGCCAGCCTGCAGCACAAGGGCGCCCATCACAAGATCCTCCTCCGCTGTTGTGCAAGCGCCGATGAAGACGCCATCAAGGTGAGTACCTGCCACATCGGAGACTGGCACCACATCATCGGGGCTTGGGTACTTGGCCACAAAGGGCTCGACCAGAGAGACGTCGATAGTATGTGACTCCGCATAGGAGCATCCTTCATCTGGCTTGAAATAGTACGATGCGGTTCTGTGATGGGCTGTTTTACGGGCATCGATAAAGTCCTTGGTGACTTCGTCGGGAACAAATATCCCTGTGATGCCACCAAACTCCTGATTTTGAGGTTAGCCAACCCTGAAACTTAGTGCAAAGTGCCAAGGGTCTCTGCGCCGTGCCGGCGGGATAAATAGGAATCGAATCAGTGAGATCAAAAAGGGTAAAAACAAAGGTAGTTGCTTACGGTAGTCATGTTTGCAATGGCAAAGCGGGCGTCGGAGCTCAACCATCGGCACCCGGGGCCTGTATACTCAACAACCCGGTCCGCAGCCACCGTATTGCGTTTAAGTTGCTGAAGAATATAGAGGATAATGTCTTTACCTCCGACTCCGCGCTGGGGCTTGCCCACTAGGTGGATCTCGACGACCTCGGGGACTTTGAACCAGATCTCTCCAGTAACCAGAGCCATCGTGACCTCGGTTGCACCCAGTCCAATCGCAAGACAACCGTCGGCCCCAGAGCTACACGTGTGCGAATCCGAGCCAATGATGATTTGGCCTGGTTGGGCCCGCTCACGGTAGAACTCGGTGTGCATGATGGTGTAGTTGTTGCCCTGGAATTGTGTCATCTTGAACTTCTTACGAGCAAAATCCATCTCGCCAACCAGCTTCTGCACAAGGGGCGTATCCATCAGCCTTGGATCAACCACATGATCGCCAGCCAGCCAGAAGTTGGAATTCGAAAAGATTCCAGGGTCGCCCAGCTTGTTGTAGACTTGAAGCATGCCCTAGTTCAAGGTCAGCAAGCCATCCAGGGCGGTGGGGATTTAGAGGTGAGGGTAAAGTGTAAACATACATGCCAGCTAGCCTCGCTAGCCATGATCCAGTCGACAGAAACTCTAATTGTGTCCCCTGTTCGGACCCATCCTGTGCGAGTCACGTCATGCAGAGCAAATATCTTTTCTGTAACATTCATGGGGCGACGGCCGGCAGGCCGGCTCACTAGGGGAACGATCGGTCCCCCCCGTCGATCGCTGGAATTCAGACTCTCGAGCCCTAATGAAGGAATTCGGTCCCGATCAGTTCTCATCCAATGAATGCGGCAAAATCAGGGTTGGACTGGGAGTTCGCGGCACAGTAAAGGAAAGAGGGTATGCTTACATGCGGACGTGAGCAGAATCAGCTCGCTGCGGTCCGTTGCGCTTAACTCCCCGTTCCAGGTCAAACCCATACCGCCGTAGTCGGGGGACGCCGTAGCGATGCTGACGACCTGCAGAATGGTTTTCGCCTCTTTCTCTTTGCCATCTTGCTGCAATCTAGCTGCCAAGGCAGAAAGAACAACCAGAGGGTGCTCGGAACTTTCGGTCTCTACATCCGACGTTCCTAATCTGGGCGTAAGTTCTGCCTGGCGACAAACAGGGGATATGGACATTTGAACACTTACCACCGTTGAGTGTCCGCTCATCTTCCAAGTGGAGATCTCGTGTTGCAGCCAACAGCTGCAGGAGCTGCTCGTTGAAGCTCTGTTCCGCCATGCTTGTGTGAAGTATTCAGCAATGAACGATGCGCAACCTTCGATTGAATCTTGTAGATGTGTTACTTTGCCGGTAGAATGGATGCGCAAGAGACGACTCTGGCCCAAGGCTTCTTTAATAGATACAATAGGGTCATCAGGAACTTCAAAGTTGAATCCAAAATACCATTGATTTTTTTTTTTTCCTGTCATTCACCTGGCGCTGGGAATGTCTCGTCAGCTGAAAAAGCGAAGGTCATATTGGACGCAAAGTCATCCCATGATCCATCCGTGCGGGCGTCTGTGCAGCGTCTAAACACCTCGTTAATCTCAATATTTACGACATGTGTATGTGACTTCACTGCTTCTCATATTTCAAAAGTGTTCTATTCCAGTCATATCCAAACCAGACACGTTGCTGTGACAGACGCTGCATCGTCAGCATGTTTGAAAAGCCATGGTGGCAGGGGGATGAGAACATTCTGGCTCCGATGCTGCGGCGGCCGGCCCCACAGAGAAGTTCAGTCTTCGCGCGCCCTCCTCTGTTTAGCAAGTTGCCCTGTAAGCTCAACCACTTCGAATCATCGAAAGACATCAATCTTTCCATGCGTTCATCCGGAGTCCGTGTTTCTACCGAGCTGGGCCGCATGGCTATGCGAAGATTCCCATAACATTTGGTTTGATAGTTTGGCTCTGCTTGCTTGGCTAAGAGACTGAAATCGCACGTCTCCTCAATTACTCGTGAGAAATAAGACGGGTTCACGGCATGCTTTGCTCCACAATACGAGCTTCTTTACATGGGCAGAAAAAGTTAAACATGACTTCGATGTCTGGTCTTTTTGGCGACCTGGGCGTGTGTAACGTTCAGGATACGGTTGAGGCTGATTGAAAAGCACAGGCATTATCAGAATTGGCACACATGGGTCACCTTGCAATTCGGCACCACATGAGAAGTGGGTTGAGTAACACGTATAGAATGACCTTGATTTGTGAACATGTTTGATAACAGGCCTGTTCTTCACCAGTAAACTTAGATGGCCACCCAGTTTGACAATACTCCTCCGTTTCCCATGCTACTCTAACTCCGTGCCAGAGTTGTTTGTTTCCGTTTCTGTTACTTTCCTAGCTCAATTTCGCTCCGTGTCGCAGTAAACGCTCAACCATTGCTTTGTTCCCACTTTCTGCCGCTCTGTAGAGAGGCGTGCAACCGTCCGGGTCCAAGAAGTCGACGTCAGCTCCGTGCTCCGCAAGCATGGTCACCATGGGACCTTGGTTGTTTTGCGTCGCGTAGTGAATTGGGGCCAGCCCAGCTTTATCCGCGGCATTGACATCCGAGCCGTGGAGGATCAGCGTTTTAGCCACGTTGATGTGGCCGTGTGTTGCTGCAATGTGCAAAGGGCTTCCTTGAGTTGGTCTCGCAAACTTTCCCCATATTGTCAGCAAATTAACGTGCAAAGTTATGGAACTTTTGATTGTTGCTGAGATTTGGGGCAGAAAAATGAAATGTGAGAGATTCCGGATGAGTACTTATATAAGAAATCCTCATCTGTGCTCTTGAGGAAGTGATGGTAGGATGAAGTGAGATATACAACTTACCCCTAATGTAAGGATATCTTCTGTTGAAAGGTCTGACATGTCTTCGTGTCTGCTGTTTGGCGTCATGAGTGTCATGCTGGCGTCCAATGTCCATGGCTCGATGAATTCGACAGTGTTCAAGCTGTGGGGGATTCCAGCTGAATATGAGCTCGCGTCAAGGTCATCAGTGACGGTGTTTCGTTGCAACGTTCGTGGAGCAGCTTCTCCAGACACTCCCATTTCCGAAGCAGGGAAAATTACTGCTGCCTGCCCAAAGTCTTGGGTTGGTTCATGCGGCGGGGTCTGAAGTGAACCGAACGGATCGGCAAGTGCTGCGGTGTATGTGAGGTCCTGCAGAATCTGATTAGCCCAGGCTCTCGTGACAATGGTACCGTAAAGACGCGTAAGCACACTTGCTGTGACCGTTGGGGGTGAAGAAGAAGCGCTTCTTGACCTCCTCGTCGTTGTTGCTGTTGTTGCTGTGGATGATGACGCGACATGGCTCGTTGCTGCGGCGGCTGCTGCGGCACTCTTTCCCTTGGCTCCTAGAATAACTCGACTTGTTGGTTTCTAAACGTTTCTTCTCTATTGGATAGATGATAACGGATGATGTTGTGGCATGTGCTGTGGCATGTGCTGGACTGGGAGTGAGGGTAGAGATAGTGAAGTGAGGGTGTAGGCAGGGTAAGGTATGTTGGTTTTGAGGTTGCATACGGGACTTTCGCTTTGCCAGTCGGTTTTGTGTTCTCCTCCGCTCGGCCGGGTTGACTGTGAGGGCCATCAAAAGAGACCTCATGTCACCCTCGCAGCTTATGGTGTTCATGGTGGCGGCAACTGTAAATAAACTACTCAGAGCACAACCTGCACTCGGTCCGTATAGCGGAAAACAAAAGACTAAAGGGTGCAGAATGCAGTCAAGCGCTGAACTTGCAGGAAGCTGCAGAAGTATTTCTTAACCGCATCAGACACATCAGAGACAGACAGGCCTCATGACGGGCCGCAGCGGGCAGGAACAATATGAATATCGGCAGCACGTCATGGAGTAAAGCCCGTCCTTCCGTGACACTATTCAACAACCTGGGTCTCTCGAAATCCTCCTGCACCTTAAACTTTCGCCAAGGCAGTGTCGGTGCTACCGAGGCTGAGGCGTTTGTATCCACACCGCCGGCGAGTCCCACAAGCTTCCAGGGGAAGGGGGAAGGATTCTCGCATCACATCCTAGTACCACCATAGCGACCCCGGTGCCGAGATCCCGGGGAAAATGCAACGGGAGGGCTCCGCGTGGGATCAACTGCGGACATTATTCCCCGCGCCGAAGCGCGCAAACGGCCGCACCTCCATGCCCGGTCTAGGCATGCCAATACATATAGGGTTTGAACGTTTGATTGTCAGACCACGAAGGAAGCACGTTTCTTCGCTACTGGGGGAAAGCGAGTCAGCCAACGTGTCCAAGATCAGCAGCTCCTTAATAATGCTAGGCCTAGGCGTAACGCTCTCAAACCAGACCCTTTGTGGTCCGCTGGCGATGCAATGTCAAGACACTTTGGGAAAGTTTCTTGGTCAAGCCGTTTACGAATGTTCCCTTTCACTTTTCGTGGTACTATGCTACTCACTAAACAACAATACTCCCCCACCGGGACTATTTTCCATGTCCCGTCTCTTGACAAGCTGTCAGGTCCCGATGCTACCGGTTCATCCGACTAAACATCGGCTCTGCTCATGAAACATTCTGTCTCTTTCGGAAACGAAGTTTACAGTTAAGCCCCTTCGGCAAAGCGTCCTGCGTCCCCCATTGTTCCATGATACGACTTGGGTCGTCCAATGCGGTCTCGAATGTGAGAAGAACAGCAGATATCAACATCTTCACCTGGAGAGTTGCGAATGCTTTGCCCAGGCACAGACGGGCACCATACCCGAACGGGATGAAAGACCGCTCCAGTCTTAACAAGCCTTCAGGCTTGACGTCTAACCACCGCCTTGGGTTGAATTCCAGCGGCTCGGGAAAGACTGACGGGTCCAGGTGCAACGCAATGGTCGAAGCGGATGCAACGGTCTAGTTTTTACATGGGTAAATGTTAGAACGGCGTGTAGAATACTGGCTTGGGCTCTACGGTAGCGGGAGTGCAACCGGCAACTTACGTATGGGGGGATGTAAACATCGCCGTATCGAGTGCCCTTGGCCAATATGCGCTCGGCTCGCCCACTAGAAACTGGATTGATCCGATATGACTCTCTTATGCATGCTTCTAGAATAGGGGCTTTGTCGAGTGACTGCCAGACCGGGAGACCGTCATCTTCCCGCGGTAGCGCCTCAATCTCAGCTCGAACCTTGGCCTGCCAGTCAGGGTTCCGGCTCAGGTGGTAGACCACATACGTCAAAGCAACAGTGACGGTAGCCTGAGCCGCGTGGAGGTTGTCAATCACCTCGCATGCCACGTAATCATCAGAGATCTCACGACCAGCAAGTCGGAGATCTTGAATGAGGCGGATAAGCGACCAATCAGACGATGACTTGGGATCAGAAAGTGAGTAAGCCAGACGCTGCATGGCCCAGACATCCAGGTCACGTTCCGCCGAGAGGAATTTGGATGAGCCGGTGTACATGGAAATGGCTTTTTCCATTATGTTGTGGGCGAAAGGTAGGTTGAACTTGAGGGAGTTCCACATTTCGGTGTTCTTGAGTCTGGCAAGAATGTCGCGATCTGTGTAGTCTCCTTGAACGGCATGAGAGCAGTGCCTTGGTCCGTAAACTAACGCGGTGATATTGTCCCATGCGTAGTGGTTGATGACGGGGAACACATCGATGATTTGCTCCAGTTTGGAATGTCTCTCAAGTGTCTCTCGGACTCCAAGCGCCTTTCGCCGGAGAGGCTGTTGTATCTCTGACTTGTAGATGGAAGTTGCCTGGTAGAACGCCGAAGACAAGCCTCTCTTCGCCTTGTGCTCCTCGTACGGCTTTTCGGCAAATATTGACCGCTCTCCGTGATAAATGAAGTGGTCAAAGTAATCGCTTTTGGGGTTCCTCTTGGAACTGCTGTAAAGGTCTCGCATAGCCGTAACGTCGGAGATTGATACTTCTCCGGGTGCAATAAGCACGAAAGGGCCATACTTCCGATGCCATTTTGCGATGGCCTGAGGTCTTTGACGAATCAATTCGAACATTGCAACATAGTGATGGGAAATTCGGCATGGCCAGGGGCCTGGAATATGCCGGTATCTTGCCACTCGCCATAGTACGAAAGCGAGACCGGCAATAGTCAAGACTAAGGCAAATAGGCCGATGTAGCCTGAAAAGATCTGAAAAATGATAAGATTGGCCATGGTGCCCGTATCAAAAAGGTTAGGAGGGTAGGAGTTGTTGTCTCTGTAGGATGCTCATCCATAGATTTTCGTTTGAACAGGAACGTGGCTGACGAATACTTGTAGGCGGAATCTGTCCCTCCTCCAGAGGATTTGACTTGCCATGACGATCGTCTTTGGCGATTACAGCCTCCATGATGTTGGTTACTACAGATGGTGTGACAGTACAGGCATGCTGTATGGGCCCCAAACGTCCGCTGACTTTGCATTCCGAGCGGAGACGCGCATAAGCGACTCCTGATGTTGGTGATCAATCGTCAAACGAAAGAGCTTGTGGCTGTGACAGATGTTTTCATGAGGTTACGTCGGAAATTTTCCGCGTCACCGCAAGAAACATCAGAGCAACATGATGGGGACGGACGCATCATTGTGCTGCAAAGACTATCTTAAGTATAAACTTTCCGACATCCTACGTAACGCATGAAAGGCGAATCAGCTAGGTACTTAGTTACTTGTTATTCTACAAGTATCTGTGAGACACAGCCATGTTTAAGACTACGATTGAGGGAGATTGGCCCTAGCACAATCTTCACGATATATCAAGTGCAGAGAATGCTACGTACGATAAGTTTTATTCTATGAGCAATCATATTAATACAAAATAAATATGAATTGGACTCATGATTGACATTGATCTTGCTGCCTCCAGGTCATTTGCCAAGCAATGGTAATCTCATACTCAAAAGATCGTATTTAGCATGTGGGCATGAAGACGAAAGTCTATTTCGTGTATGGCATCATGTTATAGGAACGAGGTCTACCTTGCACTAATAACTTTACCCTTTTGCTCCACATATGACCTTGCTGCTGTCTCGTATGTAACGAATTCCACCTGCGACCCCCAGCTTTTCAGCCAGAGTAGCACATCCTCGATAGCTCCTGCGATATGTGCCATGCCTGAGGTGTCGGGATGGAGGACCAAGGGGAAGACGAAGTCACCGGGTCCATGTCCGTCAGCGCCATGGTTCCACAACCAGGTAAAGCGGTCTTTCCACATCTTCTCGATCGTCTGAACCGAGACAAACCCGTGAGAATTCTCGACGTTGGGCCAAAACTGGAGGGGGGTCATGTCTTCCATGTACCAGTTGGCAGGGATTTCAACAATGCCGGTAGATTCCGGCTGGACAGAGGGCTGCATCCATGTATGTGCTGGCTTAGAATAGTCGACTGGGGTGAGAGAAAAGCCTTGGTCGAGAGGGTACAGCTGTGAGTCGTGGCCGCTGAGTGATGTGTCATAAAGAAACCCCCTTTTCTCTAATAGAGAAATCGTCTCATGGCGGATTCGGTACAAAGGAGCTCGGAATCCGACAGGGCGCTTCCCAGTCAGAGACTCGGCAAGGGCAATACACTTATCCAAGACATCTTCCTCTTGCTTCGTGTCAAGCTTGGTGCAGTCTTCATGGCAATAGCCATGAAGTGCAATCTCCGCGCCCGAGTCCACGATAGATTTTGTCTCCGCTGGGAACGTTTCCATAGAGTGACCTGGTATGAACCATGTTACCTTGTCGGAGACGCCGATACGTTCAAAGAGACCCAGAAGGCGGCCTACACCGACTTGGCCTGCGAAGATACCCGATGAGAAGTCGGCGAGGCAATTATTGGGATGTTGCCCTGTGCCCATCCAGCCCGACACCGCATCAAAGTCGACTGACACAAGCACTTGAACACGACGACGGGCTTCAGAAATTGGTCGAGGGATCCTGGCGAGAGCCGTAGTCAGCTGCAGCTGCCCAATGAGATCCTGGAATGCAACCGCTGTCTTCGGGCTTTCGTCGACAGGTGTCATCCGAACACGGACGCCCCCGACTTCAACGACTTGATGGGCAGTTAGTTACAGGTATCGGGATGAAGGCGAGTCGATCTGGGTTCCATACCGTGTTCCATTTTCAGATTGCTCCGCCGAGAAATTGCCTGAAGACCTCTTGACAAATTATGGTTGAGATTGACTGCGGCCCTTACGATTAACAAATGGGTGTTGGCCAGTTGGAGTCGGAACTGGAGTTTGTAGTCTGCACGATGGTGCGTACCTCTTCTCCTGTCTGCTCCCGAGAGCTCCGACCCAGTTATAGTAATTCTCATTGATAAGATAATGCACGATAAGCACCATGAATATGCGGTGTCGTTGCTGTCTCTACATGATCATTGGACCCCTCCTTTAGATCTGATTAGACTTAACTCAGGCTCTCCCCAAAATTCAACTAGTGGAGCTCTGAGGGCCTCACCGATGCTAGCAATACCCCGCACTCTGTCAGCATCATGACCGTGTTTCGTCCTGCACTGTCTCAACAGTCTAGAATATGAAGAGAGTGGATGGAAGAAGATAGAGTTTGTGCAGGTTTTATTCAGTGACTGTCGTTGCGTGTCTTGGTCATCATGACGTCGCTTATGCGCTCGCTACGACCCAGCATGGATGACTATGACCTTGCATATGGAGGGAGGAGGTCAATGCGTGTTCTGAGGCAATATCCTCTCTACCTGAGTCCATCGTGGAATCTGAAATGGGGTTGAAGGCTTGCTCATATCATCAACCGACATCGCGGAAAATACTGGATTCAAGAGGTATGCAGTTCTTCGATTGACTTATACGTATCCTAGTGTAAGAAAAGGTTCAAAGACGAGACAACCACGATGGCTTCAACATTTTCAGTTGAGAAGGCTAGGGCTCAGTTCCCAGCTTTGGCAAAAAACCAGATCTTTGGCGACAACGCTGGTGGAAGTCAAGTGCTTGGCACAGTCGCAAAGAGGTGAGAAACGGCCGGTCAAAAAGATTCTCCAGGAAAACAGGCACGGTGGGCAACACTGAAGCTAGCTCTCTTACTGATATCAACGAACAGCATCTCGGAATACCTCGTGAACAACAACGTGCAACTGGGTGCAAGCTACAAAACATCCAAGATCTCAACGGAGACTTTCGACAGGGCGTACAAGGTTGCCGCCGATTACGTTAATGCTGATGTCGGTGAAATTGGTAAGGATCACCCACCACCCCACGCCCAGACTTAAGGAAAGGGCCCAACATCCATGGTCACATGTACTTACACTCCATATTAGTAATTGCACCCTCAACAACTCAAGCTTTCCGTAACCTTGCAGCAGCTCTCAAGTTGAAGGCTGGCGATGAAGTTATTCTTTCCGAAGTTGACCATGAGTCCAACATTGACCCTTGGCTCCACTATGCAACTCTCGCGGGCGCAACGGTGAAGTGGTGGGCACCTCCTGATCACTCAAACCCAAAACTCGATGTGGCGGCACTTCGGAACCTGTTGACACCGAAGACTCGTTTTGTAGCTTGTACACACGCTAGTAATATCCTGGGAAGCATTCATGATATCAAGGCATTTGCAGATATTGTGCACGCAGTCCCAGGGGCCCTACTCTGTGTCGACGGTGTTGCTTATGCGCCGCACCGTGCGATTGATGTAAAGGAGATTGGGGCTGATTTCTATGCGTTTTCTTGGTACAAGGTAAGCGATTCCACGAGAAAACCACCTGTGCGGGACAAACTAACCGTGTACAACTCAAAGGTGTACGGTCCGCACATATCTTTGCTGTACGGATCCTTCAAGGCACAGGAGCAGCTGCAGTCACTTGGACACTACTTCAATCCGTCTGGAACTTTGATGGACAAGCTTGAGCTAGCTGCGGCTAGCTACGAGCTCACACAAGCGGTTATGCCGCTGGTGGCATACTTTGGAGATAACCCGAAGCAGACCTGGGCTCAGATTGCTCAGCACGAACAAGTCTTGCAGAAGCATCTACTCGAGTTTCTGAAGTCGCGGCCTGATGTCTCCATTCGAGGTGACGTTTCCTCTGCAGCTTCAACCCGGGTTCCCACTGTGAGTTTTACCGTTAAAGGGAAATCATCTCGAAGCGTCGTAGAGGGAGTTGAGGCCCAATCCATTGCTGGGATTCGGTGGGGTCATTTCTTCTCAAAGAGGCTGGCCGAGAAAATCCTTGGCCTCGGCGAAGATGGCGTTGTCCGGGTGAGCTTGGTGCACTACAATACCGGTGAGTTACGCTCTTCAACCTTTTGGATGATCCAGAGAGCTGACGTGTCTTCTCGTATCTAGTGGAGGAGGTTGATGTGATTATCGAGGCTCTGAAGAAGGTTCTGGGAACTTCATGAGAAATTATGTGTAGAAATGACGATGTGAGTAGAGAAGAATAGTTTTCGAAACGTTGGTTTATTGTAATGAATGAACTTTCTGTGATTTGAGTTCTATGAATTGCTTGGTTTGAGTCTTCTAGCACTTTGTCTGAGCCCAGCGATCCATGCTGAAAGATAAGCATAAACTAAGACAAATGTATCCAAACCTTGGCAAAGTAGGTACTAAGAACTTTCATCATCTCACCCGGCAAACCTATCTTATTTCGAGCCCGCACTAGATCAAGTTGATCTCATTAGACATGGAGTTGCAACATAGGTACATGAACTCAGTCATGTGGATCATGCGGTGTAAAGAACCATTACGGTTTACGGATCAATCTTCTAAATCCTTTGGCATTCGGTTCGTGGATGCCGAAATCCGCTAAAAGATGATTGGGAGAAAGACAGGGTGGTTCTATGCGTATTTCTTCAAGGCTTGAAATTCCGTAGAATTTGATGAAAGCGCTTCTTGCTACTTGGTCAGCATTTCTGACTTGCATGTCCGTGTCTTGCATCAACCGATGTTGAATGTATGAGACCAAACATGAGATTCGGATTCTAGACCTGAGAACAGATGGGTCCGACTTCCTGTTCTGATCCGGGCCGGGGGGCTTGCTGACAGATGGTATTCCCAACATGTCAGTTGAAGTGCTGGGAACGATTCATTTGGATTGGACCCCTTGAAGTTGAACCCGGACTTGGACCCTTGTTGTCAACACAGACCAAGCATCAAGACCACTGTGTCACTGCCACGTTGCCGCCCCAGGTGAAAGGCCACGTTATGCAATGTCATAGCTGCATAGTCAAGAACTCTCTTTTCCCTTGTTAATTCTTCGTCGGAAGCTCGGATGATAGACCCGTATCTAGAACACAGGGCATTTCTCGCCAGATTGAGCTGATTGATACATATACCTTCAAGTGCCAGTGGGACCAATTATACATGCAGGATGTGAGCATCTCAACTGAACAATCTGATTAACAAACTCCAACATCATTAGTCATATTGTGCTGTGAATTGTCGTGCTGACTCCATTTTCAATTTTCCGAAGATTACAATCAGCTAAGATGTACGTGCTTCCCAATTGCAGCGCATTCCCTTTGCTCTTCGTGACAGCTGGCTTACTTTCAGCTATTGTGAAAACAGGCTTCCCGACCCACATACCAAGTACACAGGATTCCAGCAAATCCACAATCCAAACCGAAAATGGCCCAACCGGGTTTTGACGAAGCCTCCGGTCTGGCTTTCAACTGATTTGCGTGATGGCAACCAATCTCTCATCAATCCTTTGGTTAGTTTAACACATGTGCTTGGGACTCAAACTTATGGGAGGCTAATCTTGTTCATAGACCATTGAGCAAAAGTGGGAATATTTCCAGATGCTCGTTGAAATCGGTTACACCGAGATCGAAGTCTGTTTTCCGGCCGCATCCCAAGTCGAGTTCGATTTTACGAGACGTCTGATTGAGACACCCAACATCGTCCCTGACACTGTACGTCTGCGGGGGCTTTCTCCTACGCGAGAAGATTTCTTGGCTCGCACCGTCGCCGCTCTTCGTGGCGCCAAAAGAGCGTCCGTTTGCACTTATATCTGCGTCAGTGACAAGCAGCTCAAATATCAGGGCTTTACGCGAGAGAGAGCACTCGAGCAGGCCGTTAGATCTGTTCGGTTCCTGCGATCTATTACCAAAGATGACCCGGAATCGGCGGCTGTAACGGACTGGACCATGGCCTTTGGCCTCGAGTCCTACAACGAAGCCGACCATGACTACGCTGTGCAGATCACTGAGGCTGTCAGAGAGGCCTGGGAGCCCACCGTGGAGGACCCTCTGGTCGTGGTTTTGGCGACTAGCACCGAGGTTGCTACTCCCAACGTGTTTGCAGACCAAGTCGAGACCTTCCGAGCGTCTCTATCTGACCCCGAAAAGATATCCATCTCAATTCACACCCACAATGACCGTGGATGTGGTGTTGCTGCAGCTGAGCTGGGCATGCTTGCAGGCGCTGACATGGTCGAGGGATGTCTGTTCGGCAACGGAGAGCGCGCTGGCAATGTTGATCTCGTCACGCTGGCCCTCAACTTGTACTCGCGCGGCATCCACCCCGGTCTCGACTTTTCAAAGCTGTACGACATCAAGAGAAAGTATGAGAAGCTCACTGGTTTAATCGTGTCTCAGCGTATGCCTTATACTGGCGAATTTGCGCTTCAGGCATTCAGTGGCAGCCATCAGAATATTATTCGAAAGGGCATTGCGCAACGAGTCGAGGCCGCCGAGAAGGGAATTAGACCTATTTGGGACATTCCATACCTCCCTCTCGATCCTGAAGACTTGGGCATTCCTCTGGACACAATCATTCGAGTTAACTCACAAAGTGGCAAGGCTGCTGCAACTTGGATTCTCAACAGACGTTGGGGCCTTGACATGCCTGTCGAGCTTCAGATCAACTTTGGAGGCCGAGTCCAGATGATGTGCGAGGCCCTTGCGCGAGAGATCTCCCACCAGGAGGTTATCAACCTCTTCATTGCCAGCTACGCACTTACCCCAAGTGAGAAGCACGATAGTGCCTCCAACATCGGCAACATCTCCGTCACTAGCGATGGCACTCTGCAAACTGTTGTCGGAATGATCAATCCTGTCGACAGCTTCGCCATTCGTATCGATGGAACTGGACCCGACATCGCCTCCGCTGTTGTCAAGGGCTTGCACTTCATGAAGGACGTCAACGCGGTGGCCAAAATTCATCACACCCAGCAGCTGTCTGAGCGGTTCAATGGGAAGTACTGCGTCCTGGCTACCTGCGTGGAGGGGATAAGACCACATGGGGATACTTTATCGATGAAAACGAGGAGAATGCCCAGGCAATGGCGGTTGTTTCGGCGTCATTGGTAAGTTATTCTCTACTTCGCCTTTCCCTTTTCTGTCACTAACATCACTTATAGCACATGTACCGTCGCAAATTGTCAACCTTGCCGCTCAAGAAGCAAAATACTATGGCCAAAATCGCGGCCGCAAGTGCAACTCAGACAGCGGCAACAGCTTAAGCGCTGCGAAAGGGTTGATGATGAGGAAGTTTCACTCCTGCATGGATGTCTCGGTAAACAAAGTGCTTGCCTGTAAATAAAGTTGAATGTCATAAAGTCATGACTAGAAAAATGATCTAGTAAGCTTGGAAGCGTGCACATTTGATGATTCTGGCAACAGCTCGGGATCAGATGGGGAATTAAGGTACTAGATTGATCGAAAACTCTCGCGTATGATCACCTTGAAAGAATTCATAGTCGTCAATTCATGAGACATGTTACAAATGCTTCCGCAATGGACGATTTTGGGCAATAAACCTCGTCGGATAACTCTGGCAGACAATTGAGAGAGATGATACGAATTTAACATAGGAATGAAAGTATATTGAGCCAGTCCACCAAAGAAGATAAAATATCATGAACAAATGATAAAACTAATCAGACCCAAGCGTGCGTACATGTAAGTATAAACAAACTGCATAAAACAACAGACCCAAGATGCTACTTGTACACTGTGACCTTCCGAAGTTATCTATGAATTAATCTTTATCCTTCTCGACGATAGTTTCCGTGGTTGTCTCGGTGTTTTCTCTGTCTTCAGGCTCGGTCACTCCACTACCGGCTGATGTGACGGGCGAAGGTGCACAGTTTTCTGCGTCTTTGGGCCTCTTTTCCAAGATCCTCGTCCACTTGACTAAAAGTGATGCGACTGTCATAGCAATACCAGCAGCCAAAGCCATGTAAAAAACTTGAACAATAGAAAGGTTGTAAAGTTCGAGAACCTTTGGTAGCAATGATGGATCAACGATATGGCGAAGCTCGGTTGCGCCACTTCGGATGATCTTGTCCACGTCGACTCCTTGGACTGGGCGGAGATTGCCCTGAAGCTTGTTAAGAAAGACTGCCTGCGCAATAGCAAGACTGATCGCACTGCCCACCATGCTGCTGAAGAGCATCATTGAGATGGCGGTTGGTGACAGCTTGGTCTCGACAGCGTTATGGGCCACAACGATGGGCTGCTGAGACGCCAAAGCAGCAAAACCCGCCAGTGCCGAGAATCCCATGATACGGGAGTCAGTACTTGCCATAGTAATGGTGCTGAAAAGACCAGATACGATGGCCGTTAGAGTACCACCGAGAAGCATAACTGGGTTCGCGCGCCCGATGGTGTTCGCCAGAAGGCCTCCTGCCATCACACCAACAGCGGAGCAAGCATTTAGGGGTAAAAGTAGAATACCAGAGCGTGCGGCTGAGTAGCCTTTGATAACTTGGTTCCAGAGCGGGATCTGCGGTGTGTGAGAACTTGGCTCAAGGCATGTGTGAGAGACGCCATCCCGACGAGATTGTACTTACGTAGTAGTCAAACAAAGCCATAGCCATACCAGCCGTTACAGCAAAAGCTGCGGCGAAAGAGATGCTGCGGTTCTTGAACAGTGCCAGGGGAATGACAGCTGCCTCGCCCTTTCGGTGCTCCCAGAATACGAGCGCCACGAAGAGAGCGAACCCCACTGTCAACATGCTGATGGACTCTGCGCTGTTCCATGCGAACGTGTTGCCTCCAGACTGAACGACGAACAAAATGAGAGCAATGGCCGGAGTCAAGATGAGAATGCCGATGCCGTCAATCAACTTCAGCTCTTGGAAGATCGTTTTCCAAGGCTTTCGGTGGGTCCTGAGTAAGAAGAAAACGACTGCACCAGCCACTGTTCCCATGGGTACATTTATCAGGAAGCACCATCTCCATGATGCGTTATCCGTCAGGGCGCCACCGATGAGAGGGCCGGTAATCTGGCCGACCAACTCCATAGCACCCAAGACTCCGATCATGAGTGGGAGGCGGGCAGGTGGCAGAATTTCGGTTACGAGTCTGGCATCCGGACAGGCTAGTCAGCAAAGGATGTTCTGAGCATTATGTTGAACGACACCTTGACGTACACCAGTGAGGTTGATACAACTCCAGAACAGCCTAGGCCAGAAAACGCTCTACCAACGATGCACATTGTAGATGTGTTCGCTAGTCCGGCAAGCAGACAACCGAGCTCGAACAGGAAGATTCCAGCAATGTAGACATGTTTGTGTGGCACTACTCGGTTAAGGGCGCCAAAGACAAGTTGAGATGCTGCTGCAGCCAAAAAGCTGAGTCGTCTCTGTCAGTTCGTGGTCGAGACTGAGTTGGGTGCATAAAAAACCAATTCAAACACGTACTAGGCAGATCCGAGCCAACCAACATCACCAAGACTTCCGAGATCGGTCGTGATTTCAGGAGTTGCTACACCCACAATTGTGCCATCCTATAATTCGTCCTACGTTAGCGGGTTATCACTTGGGTACTCAAAAGAAGAGTCTAGTAGTATTCAATGCCATGTACGCCCATTTCATAGGTTCGGCTGGAAGGAAATCCATGTACTCACCATGCCAATCAGCCCGACAGTGACGGACAAGGCAACGCACACCGCCAGTGCAGAGAGAGGTATTCCAAAACATGTTCGCTCTGTTGTCTCCAGTGAATCCGTATCTTTGGAGGTCGTCATCGTGCCGATTTCTGTGAACGAGTGTTTTGGTATGGTAAAGGAGTGATATCAGTTTAGGCAGCCACTGTGAAGGGATTGAACTGGAGTAGGTTGGTGGCAGTGCGTTGAGACAGATGCAACATGGAGGTGGAAATTTGGCACCGGTCCCGTGGCAATGGATGTCTTGTCCTAGAACTCCAGATATGACGGTGGGACGGGGTCAAACTTAGAGTCATTCAAGGATACATAAGAGGCCCAGATGGCACCCTGACAAATGGCATGTCGTGCTCGCTCCCGTGTTCTCGAAGCATCAGCCGGATCCCGACCAAACCGCACGTGCGGATACGAGTGTTCCAAGTTTGAAGTGTGGCAACGTTCCTTCGCCCTGGAAACCCGAGACTGTCGGCATAGCACAAATCTCCGTGGCCACTGGCGGACTCTCAAGCACGAGTTGGAGTTATTCAGCCCAACTTCGGCTCTGCATTGCTGCCGCGAGGGCCGCATATAGATTCGATGTAACTCCTCTCACGTCTCTCGTGCAGGATCCAGGAACCCTCAGCATTCCGATTGTTTGGTCTGGGTCAGCAACATCTGCAGTTGCTTGATGACCCGGCTTACCCGTGGTGGTATTGCTTTTACCACATTGGCTGTGGGTTGCTGGGAACGATTTCTTGCAGCAATCTAAATCCCCTGTCGGGCTCGTCCTGCGTTTGAGCCACGCCGCAGCCAGGGAATATTGCTGACCTTGCAGCTTGGCCCCACGATCCGGATCCGTCTACGGCCCCACCTCACTTCCAAAGAACCCGGAATCCTACTTAAGGAGTTTTTCGGCTGAGGTTCGTCTGATCATAGCAACACGACCGGGGTAAGCTCCGCAGAGGCTCACTCTCGCGTCGAAGCCGAAGAACGCGGAACCTTGCAGTCATGTCAAGCCAGGCTGACGGGCGATGTGACCCTGCTTTTCGGCGAAAAGTGCGATGTCTCCTATTCGCTGAATTGCATGTACGCACCACATGACATAAGTCTGGGACCCAAGGTGGAACTCGCAGTGACATGCCGGAGATTGAAACAAGGTCACGACTCACGATCCATACATACTGGCTTACTGAGCTTGCGTAGGAAACTGGAGTCACTGGACCCCCGAATACCACTGCTATCGATTCCTTCCAATCCCTCACATTTGTGCGCAATGATGACTGCACTGCTCATCGAAAGGATCAGTCTGCCGTCTTAAGGTTTGGGCAGGGTCATTCACGTTGCCCTTTTCGGCTTTGAGCAACAGACGCCGACGGCCAAGACTCCCTGGTAACATGCTCTTCAATTTCCATCAACACCGAGCGTTGTTTTGGCAGTGTCAGCGTTTGTGATATGACATGAGCAGACGATACTGACTAGGGGAGTGGGGGAAGGGACGGAAGTTTCAATCACTCGGATAATTATTGCATGAAGCCACTTCACCACGAGCCTGGATTCGTAGTACTATGGTATTCTTCGCTGAACCTCGTTTTTCGACTCTACCAGTCCATATGTCCTAATACGAATAATCAACGATCCTTTGGTAGGCTGTATTATCAAATTACTTTTCACCATACAAAAATGAAGTCTACTTCGAAAACGGTGGTGGTCTCATCCCAAGCCCTTCGAGAAGCTTGTTCCAGACTCAATTTACAACCCAACTCCTTTCTCAAAACTGCATGGGCAATCACGAGCCACGTGCACACAGACTCCGACGATGTGAATCTGGCAAATCTGCATCAGAGCGATAGTCATGAAGATGGCCTCTATGTCACGATACGCAACATTCACAGTGGTCCTGATTCCGTCACGGTCGGTGCCGTCTTGCATCAAGTGAGCCGATCTGCAGTAGCGGAAGGTGCTGGTGTTTCCCTGAGACTCAACGATTGTCCTACCCGGTTTCTCGTCACAGAGGATGAACCACCTTCGTCAATCGCCCAAATTGCTCCCGAGGAGGTGAGTAGAATCGAGAGACGGCATGTTAGTACTACATCACTAACCACTTTCCAGCTTTTCTACACACTTGTGCTGTCTGGTCAAGAACTAAATCAGTGCCACATCAATGTCTCCGGTCCAGCACATGAGCAAAAGATGGAGGCTGTGGCAGCCACTTTCCGAATCATCTGCCATCAACTGCTCAGTCCCAGTATTAGCTTGGATTCAGGGATCGACCAGATTGACCTGTTGCCTTTCCATGAGGTAGCGCAGCTCTCCAGGTGGAATAACAACACTCAATCAGATAGTCAAGAGTGCATTCACGCCATTGTCACTGCTCACGCGTTCCATCGCCCCAGAGACTTGGCGCTCTGTGCTTGGGACGGTAGCTTCACCTATGCCGAGTTGGACTACTACTCCGAAGCTGTAGCCCGCCACTTTGTCGCCAAGGGATGGGGTCAAGGCGCCTTTATCATCTCCAAGATGCTGAAATCGCGTTGGAGTATGGTTGCCATGCTCGCTATTCTCAAAGCTGGCTGCGTCTTTGTCCCTGTGGATCCTCGAGCTCCCGCAGACCGTGTGACTGCAATTGCCAATGAGGTCTCGGCCAAGTGCCTCATCACCAACTTTGTCGACGAGACTCTGCCAGACTTTGGGAATGATATTGAAATCATGGGAAACCTCCCGCAAGTAGCTGAGATCAGTATTATCGACTCGGAACGACTCCCTCAGGTGGCAGCCACCGCTCTCGCAACTGCATTCTTTACTTCTGGAAGTACGGGTGTCCCCAAGGGCGTCCTGCACGAGCATCAAGCCATTTGCAACGGCATCAGAGACGTTCTTCGACCCTTTCACATCGACCAACACACCCGATGCTTGCAGTTTGCTTCTCCAGCCTTCGATGTCACAATGTCAGAGACTTTGACGATCCTTTACGCTGGAGGCTGCATATGTATTCCCAATAGTCAGGAGGTTGTTGATGATATCAACGCCAGTATGGCGAAGCTTCAAGTCACGCATGCATTCCTCACACCGACTGTCGCCGCGCAGGTCGAGCCGACAATCGCTTCCTCTCTTAAATACCTCATCGTTGGAGGCGAGCCTCTGCGGAAGTCGGAGGTGCTTTCGCTGAGTCCGAAGTTGAATCTTATCAACACCTATGGTGGCACCGAGATGGGTATCTGGGAGACGTCTACACTCTCATTGACACCCGAGAGTGATCACCAAAACGTAGGTCGCACCGTAGGTGCCAAGATCTGGATTGTCCACCCTCACAATCACGATATCCTTCTTCCCATCGGTATGCCCGGCGAGGTCCTCGTCGAAAGTATTGCACTTGCCAGAGGCTACTACCGACCGGTCGACAGACGAGCGTTCATCGACGAGCCCAATTGGCGTAGCAGATTCCCGAACCGTAACACGGCTCGGTTCTATCTCTCAGGAGACCTGGGACAGTATGAAGCTGACGGAACTCTGATTCTACTCGGTCGAAAAGACACTCAGGTGAAACTGAGAGGTCACCGTATTGAGCTGGGCGAAGTTGAACACCATCTGAGCCAGAGTCTTCCCGGCCAAGAACCTGTTGCTGAAGTCGTCAAGGATTTGGCATCATCCAAGGGCTCAGCTACCCTGGTGGCCTTTGTGGTGTTCCCGGGATCTGATAGAGAACAGCCCAGCGAACAGCAACTCGCTGCCGCGGCAGAAGCTAAGGCGCGAGTTACAGCCGAGCTCTCCCGTTTCTTGCCCGCCTACATGATTCCAGCTGTTCTCATACCCATTTCCTCGGTACCTCTAACGGTATCTGGGAAGACTGATCGTCGCGTCCTCAGACTATTGGCACAGCGACTATCATCAAGCCAATTGACAATCCTTCGTGGTGCCCAGGGGGCTGTTGAAGCACCGGAGACTGAGGCGGAGCAACAATTGCAATCAGTCTGGTCTTTGACCCTCGACATTGAACCCACCTTGATCGGAAAGAATACTTCCTTTTTCGAGCTTGGCGCAGACTCCATCGCTGCAATGAAAACGGCCAGCGCGGCTAGAGCCATTGGTTTGTCGTTGGGCCTGTCGGATTTCTTCAGGTACCCAAAGCTTTCCGATCTAGCTAAATTTGCATCAGAAGTATCGACAGGAGTATTTGAGGAGCAGGTGGCGCCATTCTCACTTGTTCCGCTTGATGCTGCTTTGGAGTTACGCCGGGAAGCTGCTCAGCAATGCAACACCTCTCCCGCGGACGTCGAAGACCTCTACCCATGCACATCTCTGCAAGAAGGCCTGATCTCACTGTCGTCCAAGCATGACACCTCAGAGGCCTACATCAGCAGGAAGGTTTTCAACCTGCCCAGCCATATCAACATGTTCCAATTCGAGGAGGCATGGAATATCACGGCCCTCGCACATCCCATTCTCCGCACCAGACTTGTCAACACCGCGGACCAAGGGATGCTCCAGGCTGTGGTCAGAGGCCCTTTGTCTTGGAGCTTCGGAAACGATTTAGATGCGTACTTGGCCGGAGACGCGCAACAGCCGATGACCTTCGGCACGCCGCTCTGCCGATATGCCTTGATCGACATGGACTCGGGGGTGCAGAGGAGCCCAGTCTTCGCCTGGACCGTTCACCATTCCATTTACGACGGAATGTCAATGTCCATCATCCAAGACGCTTTCTGGAGAGCTTACATCGGCCAGAACGTTGCCCCTTCTCCCCCTTTTGGTAAATTCATCAAGTTCGTCAAAAGCATCGATGCCAATGCTTCCCAGACTTTCTGGAAGTCCTATCTCGATGGGCCAGACTTGTCATTCTTCCCGTCGGTCCCATCTTCCATCTCTACGCTCAAGCCTGACTCGACCGTGGTGCGCGATTTTCCTTGGACTTGGAAGTCGACAAATGGTCTAAATGCATCTACACTCTTGAAAACGGCGTGGGCTATAGTTGCGGGCAGGTATTCCGGCTCTCGGGACGTCATCTTCGGAAACACTTTGAGTGGCAGGAATACCCCGGTTACTATTCCCGGCCTCGATGTTATCACCGGCCCAACCATCGCGACCGTTCCAGTTCGCATTCGCTGGGAGCCGAAGATGACAATCATGGAACTCCTCGAGGCCGTTCAACATCAAGAGTCCGACATGCGCCACTTTGAGCAAACCGGTCTACAAAATATCTCGCGCATCAGCTCGGATGCTCGAGGAGCATGCCAGTTCTCTTGTCTCTTCTTGGTACAGCCTCCTCCAACTGCCGACCAGACTAGACTGGAAGAAGTCTTTGGAGTCGAGGATCGCAACAAGTCATCAGAATATGATGACCATCCTTTATCGATCGAGTGCGAGATGGGTAAGCATCAACTGCGCGTCATTGCCACCTTCGACAGCCGTGTTCTGCATGAGGAGCGACTAGAGCGAATCGTCACTCTTTTCCAGCAGACGGTCTTGTACCTGAGCAGCAATTCCCAGTCCCGGGTTTCGTCTCTGAACCTGGTCACAGATGCAGATGTTTATCAGATCCAGGAGTGGAACGCGATACCGCCAACGGTTGTCAGGAGGCAGGCTCATGACTTGTTTCGCCACCAAGCCAGGCTGCGTTCGTATCACACTGCCCTTAGCTCTTGGGACGGTGTGATGTCTTACGCTCAGCTTGACGATGCGTCGGACCGCCTTGCAGGTCATCTCCATGCCCTCGGAGTTGGCCCGGATGTCTTGGTCCCCATCTGCTTCGAGAAGTCCATCTGGGCTGTCGTCGCGATGCTGGGTGTCTTGAAGGCTGGTGGCGCTTTTGCTGTCGTCGAGCCCTCCCATCCTCTCGACAGGAAAGAAGTCATTGTCCGGCAGCTCGGCGCCAAGGTTGCTGTCGTGGCGCCATCCACTGAGTCACTGTTCCCATCGGGCTGTGTTAACACTCTTGTCGTCTGTGACGCTTCCATCTTGAAGCTACCACTCCCCAGAAGGCCCTTACCGAATGGCAGCCCAGAAAACGCTATGTATGTCATCTTCACATCCGGATCGACGGGCACTCCAAAGGGATGTGTGACGGAGCATTGGGCTTTCTGCTCCGCCATGTTCGAGTTTGGTCGTGACAGCGGGTTGCGATCCGACGGACAGGTTCTGCAATTCGCTTCCTACAGCTTCGATACCAGCTCGGAAGAGATCTTCTGTACCCTCTTTGCAGGTGCTACCCTCCACATTCCGTCGGAAGCATCACGAATCAACGACCTAGCCGGTGAGATCCGTCGGACAAAGACCAACTGGGCCGAACTCAACCCCAAGGTTGCTTCACTTCTCACTCCTGAAGAGGTTCCATCCCTCAAGACCATCATCCTTGGAGGCGATCGATCTCACGGAAGTGATGTCAGCCGATGGCCTGAGAGCACCAATCTCCTCAACTCATATGGTTGTACGGAGGCATCGGTCACATCTACCCTTATTCCTCTCAACCGACGCAGCAACGAGGAGCCTCCCATCGGCAAAGGTGTGGGCTGCAACCTTTGGGTCGTTGATCCTGACAACCATGACATGCTCGTTCCTGTCGGTGCGCCGGGCGAGCTTCTGATCGAGGGGCCGGGCCTTGCTCGTGGCTATCTCGGGGATCCCGAGCGCACCGCGAAGTCATTCATCTTCGACCCGGCTTGGTCCAATGACGGATCGGGAAGACGACGTCGCTTCTACAAGACTGGTGATCTTGTGCACGCCAACGACGAGGGTGCTGTTTTCTACCATGGTCGCAAAGATACGCAGATCAAACTCCGAGGCCAGCGCGTCGAGCTTGGTGAAATCGAGCATCAGCTGGCTCAGGCACTCCCAGAGTTCGATGTATCTGCCGAGATCGCCACGATGCAGGCCAACAGTCAGGCTCCAGATACCCTCGTCGGGTTCATCGTCTTCCCCAACGACGAGGAGCAGTCTGCCGAGGTAACTACATGTCTAGATGCTGTGACTGTGGAGAAGCTGGCTACCATCAGACCCAAGCTCATCGCAGATCTCTCGCGCTCTCTGCCAGCTTACATGGTCCCAACTCTGTTTGTTCCCATGAACAGAATGCCCTTGACAATCTCAGCCAAGGCAGATCGGCGAAAGCTTCGTGCACTTGCGCAAGGACTGAGTCCTGAAGACCTTGCCCTCTTGCAGGGAACCTCGGATGTCAAGGAGCAGCCGCAGTCCCAAGCTGAAGTCAACATGCAGACGGTCTGGGCTGGAGTTCTTGGCGTCAAGGCTGAGACCATTGGTCTCGACGACAACTTCTTCCGAATTGGCGGAGATTCAATTACTGCCATGAAGATGGTCCCGGCTGCACGTCAGTTCGGTCTTCCCATCTCGGTTGCCCACGTTTTCCGCGCTCCCATCTTGAGGGATCTGGCTTCTCAAGCCGCCGCGAGTGACCAACAGTCTCAGATCGAAAAGATTCCTGTTTTCTCTCTCATTGACCAAGGCGAGAAGGAATCAATCATTGTTGAGGCAGCCAAGCAATGTGGTGTACGACCTGAGGAGGTCGAGGATGTCTATCCTTGCACACCTCTTCAGGAGGGACTCATGTCGCTTTCCGCGAAGCAGCATGGATCGTACATCATGCGTCAAGTCTTGGTACTGTCGAATGATATCCGCATGGCCGACTTTCATCAGGCTTGGGAGCAGGTTGTCCAGGCGCACCCGATCTTGCGGACACGGATCGTCAGTGTTGGCTCCAACATGTATCAAGCCATCACCACTCGGTCACTCTCTTGGGACACCAGCATCGACCTTGACCACTACATCGCCCACGACGACTCTCGTGAGGTCGAATTTGGGGCACCTCTCAGCCGATATGCCATCATCCCCTATTATGACCGATTCTTCTTCGTCTGGACGCTGCACCACTGTATCTATGATGGCTGGTCGCTCCCACTTCTCCTCAGCGACCTCTCAAAGGCATACAATAAGAACTCGCGCGGAGACTCGGACATTCCAGGATTCAATGCCTTCATCAAGCATCTGAATGGGTTGGACAAGACCGAATCAGACACCTTCTGGTCGTCTTACCTCGAGGGGCCGAGTACCACTTTCCCTGCTTCACTCCTCCCGAACCAGACTGCCCAACCTAGTGCGACGCATGACCAGAGTATGGGTTTCTCGGTCAACGCGATTGATGGCATCACTTCGTCTACCATTCTACGCGCTGCTTGGGCTCTGCTCACGCGAAGCTACACTGGCAATTCGGATGTGGTCTTCGGCATGACAGTCAACGGCCGCAACGCACCTGTTCCTGGCATCGATCGAATGAGTGGCCCGACCATTGCTACTGTTCCTGTCCGTGTCCGCTGGGATTCGAACGGAAGCACCACCATTCGTTCCTTGCTCGAGTCAGTGCAGCAAGATGCCACAACTATGATTCCCTTTGAGCAGACAGGCCTGCAACACATTTCTCGTCTCCATGAGGACGCCCAAGCTGCTTGTCAGTTTGGTACCCTTTTCGTTGTCCAACAGGACGACAGTGAGGAAGATGAAGCTGTCGCGAGTATCATGGAGCTCTACGACGCTTCCGAGGACACTTCGGCCCAGTTCACCACCCAGCCATTGTTGGTCGAGTGCGTCATGGAGGCTTCATCGAAGACCGTTACCCTTCGAATGAGTTACGACCCGAAGCTACTGGACTCTTTCCTCGTTTCTGGAATGGCGCAGCAGTTCAAGCACATTCTCTCGCAGCTCGTCGTAATTGAGCACCTCGACAAGCCAATCGGTGATCTCCATCTTATCAACCCAGTTGATCATGAGCAGGTCATCAAGTGGAACGAGGGACGAGTCAATCCCATTCACAAGACTATGCACGACCTTGTGGGTGCTGCCGCCGTCGTCAATGCCACACGACCTGCCATCAGTGCATGGGACGGAGAGATGACGTACGCGGAACTTGAGTCTGCATCTTCGCAAGTTGCCGGTCGACTTCGCAGTGTCGGTGTTGGTAGCAGTGGTCAAGGCGAAATGGTATTGTTGTGCTTCGAGAAGTCTCGATGGGCCATCGTCTCGGCACTCGCAATCCTCAAGGCTGGCGCGGCTTTTGTTGCTCTTGACCCAGCCCAGCCGGATGACAGACTTGCAACGATCATAAAGATATCGAAAGCTCGTCTTGTCTTGACTTCCAAGGGCTTAGAGGAGCGTTTGACTCGACTGTTCAAGAACACACCCAATGTTTTATGCACCTCGGAGCTTGTTGCTTTGGCAGACACCGCCGCTCCATTTGTTAAGCGGCACAGAGCTTCTGGCAGTGATGCCCTCGTCAAGGGAGTCATCTCGTCGCCTGAAGATCTTGCCTACGTTATCTTCACTTCCGGCAGTACTGGCGTCCCCAAAGGTGTCATGATCAGTCACCGCGCGGCATCTTCGAGTATGATGGCTCATGCTGAGCGATTTGGGGTCGACTCCTCCAGTCGCACGTTACAGTTCTCATCACTGACGTTTGACGCTTGCATCTTTGAGATCTTCACAACGCTTGCTACCGGCGGCTGTATCTGTATGCCCTCAGATGCTCAACGTGTGGATGATCTCGCAGCAGCTATCAACTCCTACTCCATCAATACCGTCATGCTTACCCCGTCCGTTCTGGCGCTGCTGTCCCCAGAAAACACGCCTTCACTTCGCTCCATCATTTTCATCGCCGAGCAAGTCACCGACAACGATATATCACGGTGGTCTAGTCAATGTCGCATCCAGAATGGTTACGGACCTACAGAATGTACAGTTGTCTGTGTCGTCAACCCCGATCTTCGGGACGGAGGTCGCATCGGTCACGCTGTTGGCTGTCGTGCCTGGGTCGTCGATGCTGACAACATCGACAAGCTGGTACCAATCGGGTGTGCTGGTGAGCTCCTCATTGAAGGGCCCAGTCTTGCCATTGGTTACCTGAACGATGCCGAGCGCACGGCAGAGTCTTTTATCTTCAGTCCTGTTTGGGCACTCAGCGACGAGCCTTCGGCAACGCGCCGTTTTTACAGAACGGGTGACATGGTACGGCAGACAAGCAACGGCTCCTTCATCTACCTCGGACGCAAGGATACTCAGGTCAAGCTTCGTGGTCAGAGGATCGAGCTTGGGGAGATTGACTTCCACATTCGCCGCGCTCTGCCGTCGGCTACTGTTCGTTCAGACATTGTCGATCTCCAGCAGCAAAAGGCTGGCAGTAGCATGCTCAAAGCCCTCGCTGCCTTTGTCGTCCTTGAAGGCGTCGACGTGAACATCGAGAGCAACGCCGGTATAAGCGCTGGTTCACTCAAGCAGGTCGGAGAAGCTGCCTCAACCGCTGTCGCTGAGCTGGCTCGCTCAGTGCCACCTTACATGGTCCCTTCAATCTTCATCCCCATCTCCAAGATGCCTCTCACGGTCTCCGGAAAGACGGATCGGCAAAAGCTCAAGGCCATCGCAGCCAAGATCCCCCACAAGCACCTCGACACCTTGCGAGCCCTTCAGCGCGGAGCAACAGGCGACGGACCCAAGGTTGCACCTCGTAACGATGTCGAACGGCGCATGCAATCCGCTTGGTCAACCGTTCTCCAGCTGGACCCTGAGAGCATTGGCATCAATGACAGCTTCTTCCGTCTCGGTGGAGACTCCATCTCTGCGATGAAGCTTGTCACAGCTGCGCGATCAGTCGGCATCTCCATCACTGTGTCCGACATCTTCCAGACGCCCGTTTTGGCGAATCTTTGCCGGTGCAGTAGCAATGAGAGCGATGAGATTGAGGTCATTGCACCATTTTCCCTCATCCCAGCATACGACACTCTCATGCATCAAGAGGCTGCCCGGCAGTGCGGTGTGGCTCCCGAGGCCCTCGAGGACTTGTATCCATGCACTCCACTTCAGCAAGGTCTCATCTCGCTCTCAGTCAAGGAGGAGGGGTCTTACATCGTTCGTGAGATCTTCCGCCTTCGAAGCATTCGCGTGAGCCGGTTCCAGAAGGCGTGGGAGTACGTCGCAAACATTCACCCCATTCTTCGCACCCAACTGGTGCACCTGGATACCTATGGAACTCTCCAGGCCGTAATCAGCACGAAACAGGCAATGCGATGGCGCACGGCATCCTCTTTGGAGGAGTACCTTGCCCAAGATGAGAAGGAGACAATGGGTTTGGGTACGGCTCTCAGCAGGTACGGTCTTGTGTTGCCGACCAATCCGACAGATGATGCTATCTTCATCTGGACTGCTCATCACGCCATGTATGATGGTTGGTCGATGCCCATCATTAAGGAGGCCGTTGCCACAGCGTACATGGAAGTGATGCTCCCTGAGGCTCCTGCTTTCAACACATTCATCAAGCACATCCAGGGAGTTGATGCCACCGCTGCTCAGTCATTCTGGAAGTCTTACTTTGACGAGGCAGGCGCTTCTCCTTTCCCTGCCGTTCCTCATGGATCTTCTCTGGAGTTCCGAGCCGACAGGTCAGAGAGAGTGAATCTGTCTTGGAAGTCACAGCAACGCGATGGAGTTACCGTCTCGACTCTGCTACGTGCAGCATATGCCATCGTCGTTGGGACGTACACCGGTTCCTCTGATGTTGTCTTTGGCACAACATTGAGTGGCCGCAATGTTCCTGTCCCTCGTGTTGAGACTATCGTTGGCCCAACTATCACAACTGTACCAGTCCGCTTGTTTTGGGATGCCAATATGACAGCAGAGGAGCTCCTCCATAACGCCCAGCGCCAGGCCACGGAGATGATGCCTTTTGAGCAGATGGGCCTGGTCAACATTGCCAAGATCAGTGAGTCGGCCAAGAGAGCGTGTCAATTTCAGAGCATCTTTGTCGTCCAGCCTGAGAGAGACGACGATAGCCCTGCTTGCGAGAGTCTCTTTGGTGACCAGCTCAGCAACGCCTTCAGGAGCGATGAGACTGCTTCTCCTCAGACTTACCCACTAGGCATTGAAGCGACGGTCGAGGGCAATGAGCTTGAATTGTCTGCCACCTATGACAGTCGCATCATTGATCCCCCGGAGATGCGCCGCATCTTGCACCAGATCGGGCATGCCGCCTCACTCCTCGACCAAAATCCCAACGTTCCCATCTCGGCGTTGAACCTGGCCGGCAGGTCAGACTTGTCTCAGATCCAGGCATGGAACGCTCGTGGTCCTCCAGCTGGAGCACGAGAGGCCGTGTACGCCATCATTGGTCGCAACCCATCCTCGGCACCCGCTGTCAGTGCCTGGGATGGCGACTTGTCATATGCCGATTTGACCAGACTCTCCAATGGCTTGGCCCATCGCCTCCGCGGCATGGGAGTTGGCATTGGCGCCGAGACTGTGGTTGCCTTTAGCCACGGGAAGTCCAAATGGATTCCAGTCATCATGCTTGGTATCCTCAAGGCGGGCGGTGCGTTCGTTGCTCTGGATGCTGCTCAGCCGGAAAGCCGTCTCAAGTTCATCGTCGAAGAAGCTAGGATCAGCGTCCTTCTCACTTCACCTGAGCTGGCAAAACTTCCCTCATTGGCAAATCTATCTGTCACTCCAGTCTTCCCAGCGTCACTGGAATACTCGACCGAGGAGAAAGAGACCACGCCGCCACCTGCTCACAGTGTCTCTTTACCTGACTCCTTGGCGTATGTTGTCTTCACGTCTGGAAGCACGGGTGTGCCAAAGGGAGTGATGGTGTCTCATTCTGCTACAGCCTCCAGCACTTTGGCCCACGGCTCCGCCATGGGAATCACTTCCAAGAGTCGAGTCTTGCAATTCGCCTCTTACACTTTCGACGCCTCTGTGCTCGAGGTACTTGGCACACTGCTCGCTGGGGCTTGCGTCTGCATCCCATCTCCGGAGGAAGCTTCAGAAGATCTGAATGCAGCAGTCCGGAAGTACGGCGTCAACTTCGCTGCTCTCTCCCCCCGAGTTGCTTCTCTCCTTCGTCCCAAGGAGGTCCCGGCTATCAAGGCAATTGCACTGGGTGCTGAGGTTGTGACAAGCTCAGATATTCAGCGATGGGAGGGCCGCCGTGTCAGTAACGGCTATGGCCCGACCGAGTGCACCGTTGTGTGCGTATTGGAGTCCAACAACCACAAGCCTGGACGCATTGGAAGAGGTGTTGGCTGTATCTGCTGGATTGTGGACCCCGAAGATCCGAACAAGCTGGCGCCCGTTGGTGCGCCTGGAGAGCTTCTCATTGAGGGACCATGCCTTGCTCGCGGGTATCTCCACCAGGAAGAGAAGACCCGCGCCGCCTTCGTACAGGACCTTGCCTGGACTCAAGCTCTACCCAATCCTAGCAGCAGGGCCAGACGCTTCTATAAGACTGGCGACATTGTAAGGTACGACTCAGACGGTGGCATCTTGTTCATTGGCCGAAAGGACAACCAAGCCAAGCTCAGGGGCCAGCGCATTGAGCTCAGCGAAGTTGAACATCATATGCGTCGCGCTCTGCCTGAGTGCCACGTCGTTGCCGATATCGTCAGCTTCCCCCAGCAGAAGAACGACTCCATGGCCTTGGTCGCCTTTATCGTTCCTTTGAGCAGTAGGGCATCGGGCAACTCCCTTGGAGCTATGCTTCCGCTCGACGGCGAAGCAGTCAAAGCCTTCGCTCAATCTTGGTCGAAGGCAACCGTGGAGATGTCTCATGCAGTGCCGCAGTACATGATTCCAACGCTCTATATCCCTCTTGACTCAATCCCGCTCACCTCGTCGAGCAAGGTCGATCGCCGCAGGCTACAGGCCATTGTCGCAGATGTTACTGTCGAGCAACTAGAACTTCTTCGTGGCGTTCAAGGTGTCAAGGAAGCTCCTCGCTCTTCTCTAGAGAAGAGCATGGTGTCTGCCTGGGCACAGGTCCTTGGACTTGATACCAGCAAAATTGGCATCCGGGACAGTTTCTTCCGTCTTGGAGGTGATTCCATCACGGCTATGCGCCTGGTGCCAATTCTGGCTGAGGTTGGTCTCACGCTCCGTGTTTCTGATGTCTTCAAGTATCCCGTCTTGGCCAGTTTGTGTCGTCATCTCCAAGGGGATGAAGATCGCACAGATGGGTCGTCCTCGACAGATGAGTGGTCGGATCTTGGCGGTAGTCAAGATCTCACTCCAGACGCTGAGCATACCGATGATGAAGCCCTGCAAGGTGCCATCGCCGACAACATCGCCATTCGTACCGAAGTGTCTTCCACGGCACAGGCTTCTTCAAGCAGTCCAGCCGAGTACCACATCACACCTGCATCAGACTTCCAGGCTCTTGCATTTGAGTTCTCTCAGCTCCGAAACCGCGGTTTCGTCAACTACTTCGTCCTCCGCTTCCTCGATCGCTTTAGTCATGAATGCATCCGCAACGCCTGCACACAACTGGTTCAGCATCACTCGATCCTTCGCACCAAGCTCAAGCTCGCCAACGGCCGGCTCTGGCAGCTTGCTGCTTCGAAATCCTCCTTCCAGCCCGCTTTCGAGTTCTTCCGCGTTACTTCAGATGACGTTGTCTCCTTCACGACACGCTTGATCGAGACTGACGAGGCCCGTCGCTTGGACTCGGATGAAATTCCTACCAAGTTCTTCATCGTCGAGTCTGCCTCGCAAACCCAACTCGTCATGAGACTTGCTCACACGCACTACGACGGCCTGTCCTTCCCACTTCTCCTTCAGACGCTTTCTCAGGCCTTGAAGCGTAGTGAGCTAGCTCCAGAAACCTCATTCGCCAAGTTCTCTTCCAGTATCCAGGCTCTTCCTTATCGGCAGTCCTTGTCATACTGGCGACGCCTCCTTGACGACTCGCAGATGACTCCAGTCATCACCCCTGCTGCCATCACCGCCAATGACGGAATTGAGGGTCACATTACTCGGCTTGTGACCTTGCCAAATCTTTCTCAGGCCAGCGTGACTTTTGCCAGCGTTCTCAAGGCCGCCTGGGCCATCGTCCTTGCCCAGCACTCGGGTCTATCTGACGTTGTCTTTGGTTGTCTCGTGTCCGGTCGCTTCGCTCCGGTCCCTGGCATCGAGTCTGTGGTGGGACCTTGCGTCAATCTGTCTCCTGTCCGCGTCAACAACATCTTGAAGGATACCAGCACGCGCACTTTCCTGCAAGCCGTCCACGCTCAGCACACCAAGAGCATGGAGCATGAGCACGTTGGATTCCGTCGCATCATCACGGGAGCCACGTCGTGGCCAGCCCGAACTTCATTCGCGGGCGCGTCCATCGTCCAGCACCAGAATATCCCATTGGCCGCCGAGCTGAACGAGACAACGCCTGACCTACCTTTTGAGCTGAGCGCCAAGGGAGGTACCTCGAACGCTGCTGCTATCTGGATCATCACGACTTCCCGCCCCTCGGAGGGCCTTTTGAGTATTGAGCTTACCCACGCCCTCAATACGATCAACCACAACACCGCCGAGACTCTTCTGCAGGCACTGTGTGTCGCTATTGAGCACTTCGGCCACCACTGGGACTCGGAAGCACCGCTTCCTGACACTCGAAGCCAAAAGACCAGGACGAACAATGCGCCACTCTTGCCGGGCGGCCCATCTGGCAATGATGATGAGTCTGTCGCGTCTTCCGACATGCAGAGTCCTGACAAGCATGCACGTGCCGTCGTCATTCAGGCGTGGAGCTTGCTGCAAAAGGCCCATTCCCGAGACACATCGTCAGAAGAAACCCCTACCTCCATGTTCGAGGTGTGGAATGACAACCTCGTCGCTGTGGCTTTGAAGGGCATATATGAAAGCCTGGACGTGTTTCTCGATCTTGAGCAACTTCTTCAGCATCCGACGATGGAATCGCAAGCAGGCTTGCTTGCTTCTCTGGGCTTTTGAGATTTTGTCCTTGTAATTATCATGTTGTTCTTGTATCTCTGTTTAAAATGTCTTGGTTATCTCCCGAAAGCAGTGCTTGACTGTTAGAATAGCATTTGGTACTCTCCGCGGTCGATAGGAGCTTGGCGTAAATTTATTTCTTTATTGACCTTCTTTGGATCCCGCAACTTCGCGTTCCAGTTGAATTATCCGTTGCGCCACCTGAAAACAAGCCTTAAATTGTGGAGTTGTGAAGACTGAACTCCAGTTGTGCTTGTTCATAAAGCGCGACCATACCAAATGGGGATCGTGTTTCGACAATGCCAAGATGTACGACTTTATGCCGCTTTTCCGGCCGTATCCCGACGGTCTTTCAACGTTAATGATGGCCCCCAAACACAGCCACAATCAGGAAAGTATCGACACCACATCTCCATCTGCCTCAAGATATCGCCAGTGTGTCTCTGTCTTGAGGGTTGCTGCAGTGTGTCTCGGCCCCTACGCACCACCGTCCGACACGATTCGTTTTCCCCAGTCCAACCGAAAACTGACAATGGTCTTCTTGGGCCGGCCGTCAGAGGCGTGCTACCCCTGTCGCAAGGGAAGACTCAGGGTTCGTACTCCATCTTGTTCCTCCTAAATCCCCCCTCCGACTGGTCCGCTCGTATCTTCAGCCCCAAGCCTTGATCCGTCAGTCCCTTTGGCGGTCTGTACGACACCACGGCACGCACACTTCTGTGCTGTTATATAGCGCGTTATAACAACCAACATGAACCACACTCTTCGGATATGAGCCAAGGCTGACATTTGTCTCTTTCCGTTCTCGTTCTGCAGTGTGATCGCCTGCAGCCCGGATGTACCCAGTGCTCCCGAAAGCAGATAGTTTGCCCCGGCTACAGGGATCCTTCAGAATTCTACTTTAGAGACGAAACCGCCAACGCTGCTTTTAAGGTCCAGAATAGGAAACCAAGGAGGCGTTTGCCCGCCAAAACGAAGCAGCAAACGCAATCGGTAGCGGAAGCAGATGCGCAGAAGCAACATGCAAGTTCGAGCGGTACTCCAACCGTTGCGGCCACACCAAGGCAGGCTGTTGGGACTTTGGTCAACCACTGGTCGCCATCAAGTTCATCGTCTTCAACTCCACCCTCCGACGGTGAGGTGGTTCGCTATCGATCAATCTCGTCGCCTATCGAGGATTTAGCACGCACCTATTTCATGACCGACTATATTGCGACTTCGCCATTTGATTATTTACCTAAACTCTGCCCTTATGGGTTAATAGGAAACGATGCCATGTCAGCGTCGATACTGGCTGCCAGCTTTGCAAGTTTGTCGCTAAAGATATCGGATCCAAAACTCATGAAGCTGGCTAGAGTCCAATACGCCAGCGCACTATGTCAAACGAATCAAGCACTTAGCTCTCCGAAACTTGCAGTCGAGGATAGCACTCTAGCTGCCGTGCTTCTCCTGGGACTGTTTGAGGCCATCGTCTTTTCCGGGCAGCAGTCTATGGATAGCTGGAACCAACACACGCTTGGATCCGTAGAGTTGTTGCGTTTGCGTGGAAGTCGTCAATTCGAAACCGCCCTCGGCCGCAAGCTTTTTGTTCACTCTGCAAATAACATTCGCACGAGTTGCGCCCACAGCAAAACGCCTGTTCCGACCCGATTCATAGCGCTATACGATGATGCGCAGCCGTATCTTGATCACAACGATCCTTTTCTTAAAGTCACCCCTGTTCTCGACAGGGTCGCCATGCTACGGTCAAGGATAGCCTATTTGGAGGAATCAGAGAGACATGACGTCCTTGTTGAAGCTCTGGATTTGGACGCGGCGACAGCGAAGCTTGGGCAAGAAGTCTCGGCGGAATGGAGGTTCACGGCAAGGGACCCGTATGAGAGGGCACCAATGACATACAAGGGCATGTCTTTCCGCTATCCTTCCCTTCGAGCGTTGCGGTACTGGAACTCCTTGAGGATCATTCGCATGTTTCTCAACGACCTCATTTGGATGCAGGCATCCTTGATCCTCGCTCAGGGGCCGATATCAGCCAGTGCGGACTGCTTTGCCATGCAGGAGGCCGCGACACGCAAAATCTCGACTCTGGTGATCGAGGTACTTGCCAGTTGTGGCGAGTATCTAGAGACAACTGAAGACCGGTTTTCTGTGACAGCGAGATGCTTGATCTGGCCTTTATCGGTCATTGCTGAGATATCCATCACGCCCCCAGACGCTCGACGATTCGCCCTCGACTGCTTAGGCCGGCTAAGCCGCGACGGCCGTATCCCACAACCGATTGAAGTCGCAAACACAATGATGGGCCTCCAGGCAGACTGGTAAGTACTTATCTCACCTGTCACACTGCTCGAACCATTCTTGTTGAGTTCTCGCCCAGGTTTTACATGTATCTTCTTGGATGAAACCTGTGAATATTTGTATTATTTCCAGTATTGACTGGTAAACAACTCAACTCACACATAAGTCAGATGAACCTGGATTAGAAGTACGTGTACAGTACCTATACTTCAATGCCAGCATGTCTGGCAGCTGTCGGCAAGCCACAACCTGGGCTGCAACCGGCTCGAGACTCCTGCAATTTCTCAATTGAAAGAACTATCGTTCACTCGAACCTGTGTCAACAGTAGGCTATTGCCAATGTTGCGCGCAAAATAGCAGTGCACCATGCACATTACTGAGAAGCACGAAATATACAGCTTTTGCTCTAGGTAGGTCATTTTCAAAGGCAAACGATGTTAAGGCAGGGTCAAATGGAGTTCGCTAACTCTCACATAGAAGATGTAAATCATGGATGCAGGAAGCCGAGAGCCTCTTTTATTCCTCCCACTGGTGGCCATTGGCTCCATTCGTGCGCCCCTCATATTGGTAGCGCTCCTCAAACTTGAAGTACTTGTTGAACCCGATTCCCTCGCAGACCTCGGCGTAGGACAGAATCGTCGGGGGCTTTCCAACAGTGAAGGAACCTTTCAACGCCTCTAAAGCCTCACGAGTACTCTTCAACTTTGCAGCAACCAAAGTCCACGGGTACGCAACTCCGCAGTACCCGAGCTTACCCAGGTCTTGCGCAGACAAGTTCTCCGTCTTACCGCCCTCGATGATGTTGGCAAAGACAGGGAAGTCGAGATCCTTCCGAAGTCGTTCCATGGTCTCGCGATTGGGGAGCGCCTCAACAAAGACGGCATCCACTCCAATCTCAATCGCCTTCCGGGCTCTGGTGAGAGCTTCGTCGTATCCGTGGATGAGACTGTCGGTCCGGGCCATGATCCACATGTCCACCCCCTCGTCTCTGGCGTCGACTGCGGCCTGCCATCGGGCGTAAGCCTCGCTTCTAGAGACCACGCTCTTGCCAGCAGTGTGGCCGCATCCTGCAGAATTATTAGACATATTCAGCTTCTCCATCACGGGTCATGTTTGGCCATACTCTTTGGCCAAGACTGGTCCTCTATCATGATGCCCGCAGCTCCAGCGGCCGCAAAGCTGCATATACAAAGTCAGCGCGATCACTGTATCTGTTTCTGGGCGAGCGAAAATCAAGCCTACCCCTCAACGGTTCTCTTCACATTCATCGGGCCGCCGTATCCAGTATCACCATCCACAAGGACGGGAACTTTGACTTCCCTGACAACTTCCTGAACTTTTGCAGCGACTTCCTGGAAAGCGATGTATCCAGTATCTGGGAGACCAAACGCAGAAGCCATGGCATACCCGGCAAGGAAGACCAGAGGGAAGCCAGCCTCTTCACAAAGTCTTGAACTCAAGGCATCGTAGCTGCAGACGTGAGCAAGGATCTTTGAAGGGTCTTCGTGCGCCTCTTGCATCAAGGCTCGAATCTTGGTTGCCTGGAGGGACGGGATCCTTCCACGACAATTATCTAGGTCCACTGTCGCTTTCTTGTCGCGTCTTTCGATGGTCGGGCCATTGCTTGCTTCGAATTGAAACGGGTAAGGAGTGGTATTGACGATGGACTTAGACATGTTTGACTGTAAGAAATCGCTTCAATGAGAATCTTCGGTAGCTGGCAGGTTATCGATATTGATGCTGTTGTAACGCTTGCATCAAGCGATTTTCCTGGCTTATATACACAGAGTTCTACTCCCCCCGGTTCTCGGAGTTGAAGACTTGTAGCATCCTCCATCAATGTGACTTTCGAAGCCTCAAACGACGGCAAGCACGCCGTGTGACACTCGACTTGTGCCTGAATCGCAGTCTGATGGAACAGTGCCTCCGAATGGCGAGAGGAGCAAAGTTCGGATGATGTCAGCGCAGACAGCGAAGACGGACCGAAGCGGATAATCACGGACTGTCGCGGGCACTGGCGCTATCTAGCGGATCGGGGCGGGGTTCCACGGCAGTTGTTTTCCTTGCTTCACCAAACCTCCAGAACACCAGCATCGAGAGCGGGCACCCGTTATTGTGTCCTAGATCTTCCAATAGGCTCATCGGGTAGGGGTAAGAGAAGATGACAAGCAAGACTTCATGAATGATTGAGATGTTTGGGGCTGACTTGTCCAGCACCCAGTCGAATCTCTTGTCTCGACTTAATGGCTGTTGCTTAAGTTGAGTCGCCATGAGCAATGAGCCGGGAAATAAGGCCAATACAGGGCCGTCCTCAGTCCGATCACCACGATTCAAGCGGACGTACGTTGCTTGCGACACCTGTAGGTCTCGCAAAGTGAGATGCATTATGGGAGATGAGCCCCCTTGCGCCAAATGCAAACGTGAGCATCGCGATTGTCGATTCGATCGACGTCCGAGAACCTCGAAATATAGGGATCCGCCAAATTGGAAAAGTTGCCGAGCGACTGAACATGCCATTATGCCGCAGCCTACTGGCGTCAGTCTGGCCAAGTCACCACAAAACGTTGATACACCAGTCCAAGAAAACTTGCCATCAGCGGCCCCTCTGTCCAGAGCAGTCACCGAAGACCTTAGAAGCGGGTGGCGTCAAAGTTCTTTTCGTGATAGTTCACTTTCAGAAAGGGTTGTCTCCAGTCTTGTAACCGGCTCTAATGACGCTCTTGATGTGCTGTCCGATGCCGCAAATCTACTTCACCATGCTACAGTATCTCCATCCTCTGGTCCCCCTTCAGCACCGCCAGCACACGCCTTGCAAGATGTCCCCGTCGCTGTACCCGCTAGAGAACAAACAGGAGGTCAGGTTGGGGTGGGTTTCATCATTCAGGCTCTATCTGAACCAGGCAACGATACCCTTGATATGTGGGACAAGTGCAGATTCGTCAGACAGGGCTGGTTCACATCGCAAGAAGCCGTCACATACATTGATCTGTAAGGTTTAACTCTTTGGGCTCATTGTAGCCAGCTCTCACTGACATCGACCAGTTTCTTCAAATATCTCTCTCCACTATCTCCTATCATCGTCGACCAATTTCGGAACCACACTGCTCACTCAAGCCTCGATTACGAAGAACCCATGTTATGTTGCACTATCCTGATGATTTCATCCCGGTTCTTCCTATTGCCGGGAGCAGGTGGCAGTTCCAGGAGTCATTTGATACATAATCGACTTTGGCAATTTTGTGAGCTAATGATCAAACGCATTATTCTGGGTCAAGAAAAGATTTCCACCGCCAAGATGAGGATAATCGGCACAATCGAGAGTCTGCTGCTCATCTCGGACTGGCACCCTCGAGCCATCCATTTCCCTCCGGACACAGAGGGCTGGGATGCTTTGCTGATTGATCTAGATTACGACCGAGAGAACCGGAGACGAACTAATGATGAGGAACCCCTCCTTCGTTGGCGCAAGGATGTTTTTGAGCCTGCGAAAAGAGCGAGCAGGATGTCGTGGATGCTCCTTGGCCTTGCTACGAATCTTGCCTACGAGCTTGGAATATTATCAAGCGACCAACGCGCAAACTATACAGCGTCAAAGGTTGCAGATTGTCGCAAGTTTCGGGCTCAAAAGCTCCTTTATGCCTACATGACTCAAACCGCAACGAGACTTGGGTATAGCTCCGTCTTCCCCGAAAGTGTGTCCATCGCAGCCTCGCGATCTTCAATGAAAGACATGGGCGATTCTTCACAGGTCTCATGGGCCTCATACATGGATATCTACCTCGAGTTCACCCGTCTCTCCAAAGTAGCTTCGTCAATGTTCTTCCAATCTGTAGAACATTTGGAAGGCTTGCTTCAGAGCGATGGCTACCCAGATCTGTTGGATCATTTCCTGAGCTCTCTTTCCAAATGGAAGGCTTCATTTGATGCAAACTGCAAAGGTTTGTTTTTCCATCCCCCTAACACTTCAGATGGCTAATATGGATACATAATCATAGCCGGGCCTCTGAGAACATCACTATCTATCGAGTACTACCACATCAGAGCTTGCATAGGTGCCATATCGGTACAGGCAGTCGTACGAAGAGCTGCGACAGCCAGAGCAGATGGAATTGAAAAGGACAGTCTCGCCGGCTACATGACTGCCCAGGATGCAAGATTTTTGCAAGAGGTCGTGTCGGATAGCAGCGAAGTGCTGTGCATTGCCACCCAGACATCTTTCCACTTACATCTTGCATACGCACCAGCAAGTGTCAGAATCAGCGTGATATCTGCATCTGTTTTCTTGCTAAAAGCCCTCAGTCTCGGATCGCCAGCGACAGATGCTCCTTCAGCCTTACGGACGTTAGATCGATGTGTGACTGCGTTGGGAAGGTACCCGCCCGATGACATGGATTTTGCACTGAGATACGCCCATCTCATTGAGCAACATACCCAATACCTGAAGTCGAATCTCTTGTGTATATCTGAACCCCAGAGAGCGCTCAACGATACTCGAGACAGCCTGAGTGGATTTGGGCTCACGCTGCCAACTCTTCCGCCTGACCAAAGTACCAATGATGGCGTATCTATGTATCAGAACGGGATCTGGCGGGCTCTGCAATTTGACTTGAGCATTGCCCCTTTCAGTGACAACACAAATCAGCTTTACCAGGGGTTCGACATCGACTCACTCAACTTTCTATGGAACCTCCCAGATATCAGTTAGAGATACACGGCCAAACACCTTAGTACGCAAACCGTTGGTCTGAGAACGTGTCGCAGTGATCTCCGCATGTTCTTCTAGTGTCAGCTCCTTGCAAGGCATCCGTGACTGTCCGTGTTAAGCCGCGTTAGTCCGTCGATGTCGGTTAAATCTTGCGAGGAGTGTCCAAGATCCTCCGTCGCCTTGTTGACACCTGTCTAAGTCCTCTGAGCTCCGTCCAGCCATCGTAGAGCCTTTGTCGCCTCAAACAGCCCATCATTGGCCTAGCTGAACTACGCGCTTCCGGCTAAGCGTTCCGTACATCTTTTCGAGCATGTCGCGA